CGATCAGAGTGCCGTGTACCACCTCAGAGTGTGTATTCAGGCTGTAGCGTGTTGGATGGGGCCGTTTGGTGATTTCCCATTCAGATGGAAGCTGACCTAGAAAATCATAGAGGCATCTATGGAAGAAGAGTTTAAATAATTCACTCAGCAGTACACTTTCTACTGAACCACACAGGACTACCACAAATAGAACAGAGAGAGGAGCAGAGTGTGCATGCATATTGGGGGTTGGTTGGGGAGCATTTTTTTTGGGTTGTGATTAGGGATTGAGATGCATGGAGAACATGATGTTACTGAAAAACTCTAAAACTGAAAATGAAAAGGATATTGGGTGACATGGCATGCTCACTCTGCCCTCCTGTGCATGTGCTTTCTGGGCATTCATATATCATACCATATGCATTGTCATCGTTCTTTGTCTACCCCATTCCAGGGTTTGCTCTGTGGTGTTTAATCCCTAACAGACTTTTTTCTCAGATATTGTGGACATCAAACCAGCCAATATGGAGGATCTGACAGAAGTGATAACAGCATCAGAGTTCCACCCTCACCACTGCCACTTGTTTGTGTACAGCAGCAGCAAGGGCACCCTGCGCCTCTGTGACATGAGAGCCTCCGCACTCTGTGACAAACACACCAAACGTGAGCATGTTGTGGACATAGAGCCGTGTAGAGAGCTCATTTGCATCTCACGAAACAAAATCTGTAATTATACTCAATAAAATACACCTTACCACTCTGTCATTGGTCAGTGTTTGAAGAGCCTGAGGATCCAGGGAGCCGGTCCTTCTTCTCAGAGATCATTTCCTCTGTGTCGGACGTCAAGTTCAGCCACAGTGGACGCTACTTGCTGACCAGAGACTACCTCACCGCCAAGGTGTGGGACCTGAACATGGACAAGGGCCCCGTGGAGACGTACCAGGTAAGATGGCACATCTGTAGCCTGAATACATTTTTTTGCCAAATGTATCTTTGACTATGTGTGAAAATGTTAACATTACCAATTAGTGCTAAAATTATTAGTTCATTTAGTTTATTTCTTAAAGGGGATGTCAGCAACTGTAATCCTTAAATCCAAGGATTCTCACTAGCTGTCCGTTCTGTGTGTGCGCTGAAAAAGAAAAATTCAGTGTTTGTACCCAGCCTTGGCTTTGTAAACAGGAAACAAATAAAGTGGCTCGGGCCGAGTCACACAACACAATTCCAGCCAATCAGCAACAGGAGGCGTTCATGCTCATGCACATGCACAGGAAAGGGGGAAGGGGAGAGGGGAGAGGGGAGATGGGGGAAAGGGAGCAGTGGGAGTGAGAGGGATGTTAAATCTGGCACAAGCTAACTCCACAACATGGCTGTTGAGTTCACAACAGCCTTTCCTCAGAATTGCTGATTCCACCCTTATCTGATATGATAAGGATGAATATGGTAACTGAGTAATGGCTATAAAAATGTATCAAATATACTCTGGAGGATTTGCTGTTTTCCTGTGTTTTGTATCATTGTGATTCTAATATCTTTAGGTTTTTGAAACAATTAATTTGAGCTCTGAAAGACTGGATGTGCAATTTTTACTCTTTGCTGACATTTTGTAGATGACATTAATCTAACAATTTACAGACAATAATTATCTGTCGAAGGTTAGATCATTAGCCAGTATAACTTTAGATTAGATCTAGAAACAATAAATGTAGAAGGGAAGGAAGGAAGGAAGGAAGAAGGAGATGAATATGACATCTAGCCAGAATATGAACACATGCAGCTTGTTGTAGATGCTGTGCTATGCAGAAACTAACACTGACTGTCTGCATGATCCCCAGGTCCATGAGTACCTAAGGAGTAAACTGTGTTCCCTCTATGAAAACGACTGCATCTTTGACAAGTTTGAGTGTGTCTGGAACAGCTCAGACAGGTAAGTGGAAGAGATAAAAAGGAGAAAAGGATAGACAGAGTACAGTATATTTAAGTCCTTGTGAAAGCAAAGGAGTGGGGAGTGTGTCAGTGTGTTTCTGCTCACAGTGATTCCCTGAATGCTCTGCCTCTGCCATTATCCGACATTTAAATCAATCCCAGAGACAAGCTTTGCAGACATCAAATCAATCCCTGTGCCTTCAATTTTGTTTTCTTTCTTTCTGCTTCCTCACCCTTCCATGAACCTTTTCCTCTTCTGCATTTCATTCATTTGCCCTTCTCAATATGACATCTCATTATGTCCACCTCTCCTCTCCCTCTCCTCTCCTCTCCTCTCCTCAGCGTCATAATGACAGGGGCGTACAACAGCTTTTTCAGGATGTTTGACAGGGAGACGGGGCGTGGCGTAACCCTGGAGGCCTGGCGAGAAAGCAGCAAGCCTCGGGCTGTGCTGCGGACCCGGCGAGTGTATACTGGTGGTAAGCGTCGGCGTGGAGATGTGGGCGTTGATAGCCTGGACTTTACCAAGAAAATCCTGCACATGGCTTGGCACCCATCTGAAAATATCATTGCCATAGCAGCCACAAACAACCTGTACATCTTCCAGGATCGTGTCAACCCTGAGACACAGTGACAGAGATAAGGACAGACACAGTGTCCCAAATATATTCGGATGTCTTAGAGAAGGCATGGGGAGTGGACGGCCTTTATGAGGAAATTAAGTCAAAGCCAAGCTGTTTCACAACATACTGAGATGCAACATCTGTTTGTGTTGATAAAAGATTGGATTTATGATAAAATGACAAGACTGTTAATTAATTTGATCCCCAAGGAAGATGTATAATCATTTTTGTTTGACACTGACACAAACTGATCTCCAGCACCCACCAGGACATGTTTTTGGTCCCACTACTCCCACTTTTTGAAGATGTTTGTGTAACTGCCCCACTGTAGGGGCAGTAAAAGAGGTGCAGGGACACCTCTCCATCTGCAATGACTCAGTGCTGTTGATCACACAATGTTGCACTCTTCACTGATGTGCTCTGGTACCTTTTGACACAAAATGGAAGATGTGCATTGGGTAGCAACAGAGAAGGAATGACGCTATGAAACATTAAGTTCTTGAGATGATTAGATTGCAGATTGACTTTGCCAGTTAGTGCATATAAAGCATTTTTTCCACTATTGTTGAACATTAGGAATGGTGTTATTGTACAGTTCACCACAACAACATCCTAACCCTTTTTTTCTTTCTCTATTGGTTGACAACAGCAGCTGAACCTCTCCTTTAGAGCAGTGCTCTTGGAGATTGCACGCATAAATGACCCATAATCTTTGCCCTATTCACTTTGCAATAACAGCACTAAGAAAACACAGTGCAGCAGTATTTCTGCTTAAAACATAAGCTCTTCTTATACAGGTATACACTCTTTTTACTGTTAGCTGTAAATATTATGTGTTTCTTTTTTTAGGCGTTATCGATTTTTGGTTACAGAGAGCTAAAAGATAAAAGATGCATTTTGTCTAGTACACTGCAGATGAACCTGGGACCTTATGTATAAAAAGGTATCAGAATCTCACTATTCCAGTTAAAGACTCGTGGGCACTTTTATCTTGCAGCAGTACATAGATAGGTATTGCTGGCTGTAGAGAGGGGAGGGGTGAGTTGTGCACGGACCTACACTTGCTGTTTTGTTATGTATATTAGGCCTGTATTGGGTTTTGATTGCTGTTTTCAGGCCATTTCCTTGTCTAAAGTCTGCATACCTACGTGGTAAATTACTGAAAATGAGGACCGCAGTGTGTTAACGCTGAGCCCCCTCACATATGCTCAAATTGAGGCTGATTGGTGATTTAATCTAATATGAACAAAAGTTTAATTTAGGTTAAGTGTAATGCTAATTTAAAATGAGCACTGTTCATTTTATAATGCATGAGCACAATTTGAAGAAGTATCTTACAATCAAGAAAAAGATGGAATCTAAGCACATTGTTCATAAACGAGGCCCCCTAAGAAAGCTATGAGTACGTTTGTGTCCAGTGTATATGAAGGTCAGAGGTAATCATCAGTGCAATAGGTCATAATGAACATTGCTGAAAGTCTTTCATTTAAACAATCACATCATGTGAATTTATCATATCACAGGTCATTATGTCATTATACCATATACCTCACAGTGCCACATACTACTACTGGGGTGCGACACTGAAAGCCCAGGATACTGTAAGGAGCTGTTTGTGTTGGACTGAATTGTGTGACTTGGTCAAGATTTGATTGTTTACAGTGAAGTGCTTTGTTTTCAAGTGACCTTGGCCCTGGTGGGAATTACTGTAAGTGGTCTGGATGTGTACTGTAGTAGGTGGAGTAATGGAGTCAGTGCAAAGAGGTGGAAAGTATCAGGTCCCTTTGCACTTTTTCAAGATCTGACTTTGTGTAAACCTTACATCCCAAGAAAATAAGAAAATTGTTATTATATATATTTCACTTGTCTGCTCTCTCCTCACTTTTCACCTGCTTTTGGTTTTTTACAATCACTGTTCACAGACATTTATGTTGCAGCCTGTGGACTACTACTATGTTTTGGTCTTCACTGTCTGCCAGTGTTGTTGAATGCAGACATAATCTTGCACTGATTGGTTTAAGAACGTGTTCAAGACACAGCAAAATCCACAATAATGACAACCCATAAGGAAATGGTTTACATAGTGACAGGCCACCTAAAGCATTATATAAGTCCCAGAGCTCAGTCCTCCAACTGTGAGCTGTAGTTTAGAGCAGGTCAGTTGTAATCACATCATAACCACCACCAAATACAACCAGTAAGAGGATTTGTGTTCAGGAGCACAGCAGCAGCAGCATGTTGCCATTACTCAATGCTACTAGCGTGTATATCTATCATACTTTAAAAAAGGACAAATCTAACAATACAAAAAACATAACTCAAATGAGGTGAATGAAAGGAATGTGCATTAATAAAATAATGTGAAATCGGACAACAAATGTGTTGTGTGGATCCTTTTATGTCTGTGTCTATATTTAATGGTACAGCATTTTCTGGTTGATTATGAATCTAAATAAAATCATCCAAAAGGGGTTTTGTTTGAAAGACAAGCACTTTAATAGTCATTGCACGCTCCCACCCCCTCCCAAACTCACCACTAAATAAAGAAGGCACTCAAATTCACAGTATACAGGCTCAGCATCAATGACTGTCATTCACATGTAAACAGAGGTTACAATGTAATAGTGTTCACGTTTGGCTTGTCATGCACTGCAAGTGTTATATGCCGATCATCTAATTAGTACTTTTAATGCAGTTCTACAAATTGGGGCTGCTCTGTGAAACCCATTTATATCAAAGAAAAATATCTCAGTTTTCAGCTTCATGACTTTTTTTTTTTTCAGGTAGTATATTTATAATTACTGCTTTTTATATTTTTTATTTTATACTGAAGTAGAAGAATTTTATCAATTCATTAAAAATCACTTAAAGGACAAGTGTGTGTGTGTTTAGTGGCGTCTAGTGGTGAAGTTTATGATTGCATCTAACTGAACACTGCTGGCGTCTGTATTTGACGACCTGCAAATGAGAACGGGCTGTGTAGGAGAAACTGCAGTGTCTGCAAAACTCGCCCAAAAAGGACCAATCTACAGTCAGTGTTTGGTTTGTCTGTTCTGGGCTAGAAACATGGTGGTTCAACATGGAATGACTCCATGGAAGGCAACCTGTGGCATCTGTAGATAAAGGCTCATTTTAAGGACAGAAAACACAATGATTCTATCTTCAGGTGATTATACACTGGTGAAAACATACCTATAAATATTATACTCCATTTTTTTCACTAGATCTTCCTAAACGTTACACACTGGACCTTTAATAGTTCAGTTTATATGAAAAAATCTAACTCATGCAATTTGGCAGATATATGGTTTCCACTGGAAGGTTAAATAAATAAGACTAAATTATCATGATATCAAAGCAAAATAATTCCACTCCGTGCTGAAAAGCAAAACAAATCCTAACTCTATTTCTACGGAATGAACACTGTTCAGGGTTTTGTTAGCGTGTCTACAGTCAGTGACCAAAATTTAATTCTAGGATTTAATACGCTCAGTTTTCAGTTTCTGTTTGTTTCCCTGTGGCTGTGAAGACTAGTGATGTTTATATAAAAAAATAACATTTAGAAGTCATCCCTCCCAGTTAGTTAAATAGCTGCATGATTTGCAGCAAACACTGTAAATAGTAAGAACTATCATTGGCTGTGACGTCTTTGGCCTTTTTGTTGTGTGGTTGAAGGTGTAATCCAAACCATGAAACTGGGACTATAGCTTCATAATTTTTGACAAGGTTTGCAATCAACAGCTTCAGTGAAAACACAAAAAGCTGGATTAATTTATGTTGGATTTCCAAAGCCATTTTGTGTGCATTGTAGCTCATGGCACAGAGACGTCTGATAATTAATTAAAAATAAGATTAAGACCAGAGTTTTTTAAGACCACAAAATAGTAAAATCTTGGCAAACAACCTATGTAACAAACACCTATAAATAAATCGGTTAAATTAAATATGCACCAATGCACACACACACACACACACACACACACACAAAGGTACACACATACTGTACATGCAAACATATTTCCAATACAGATAAGAAACTCCTTCATACAAAAGCAGCAGCAACATTGCTCTGTCAAAGATAAATGTCATCTGATAATATTTTATTTTTAACGAATGTGCAGTATCTCTAGGCATTCAGAAGTGGTCAGCACCCAACATTAGCCTCGCTGCATATAATCTGGCACCATCAAATTACAGGCTGTTTTTGAAAGCATGACCCTGGATACAAGAAGAATATTTGAAAATCAAAGTGACTGTGTCTGTGTTTTAAGCAGAAAGTGGGCATCTGACCCTTCTTGAATTGGTTTAGAGGTACTTGAACTGAAAAACAGTAAAATCTTTGTGAACTCATGCACTAACAGGAAGTACTTAAAGTATTCAGTCATTTCCTAAATGCTATCACCTTGTTGAAATTTCAACACATAAACATGAGCTGTAGATCAATGTTAGATCAAATGGTAGTTATGTTAGTACCATGATCATACTATGAGAAAATGATAGCATGGCTTCCCAAAGAGATTGAAGTCAGTCATTAGTACTTCAGCTTCACCGTTATCTTTCTCAGGCTGTGATTCTTGCTGACAGGAAAGGAGAAAAGAAAAAATCAAAAGCAAACTTCACGGCTCTCATTGTGGTGCGTCTCCAGTCTCTCTCATACTTCACCTGCCGACCTCCAGTCAGTAGTGAAGAAACACAGTCCAGACAGTGGATAGCCTTCAGCTCAAATGACGGAGCTCTGGATCCTAGACGGCCCTCTAGCTTGGTGCTGAACTCCACCTTGTTACCTGGATTTAGGTTGAGCAGAACTTGGCTGAACTCATGGCTGGCTATTAGGAGTATATCCCTGGCTGGGTCCTCCACTCTTCCATCCTGGATCATCCCTATTGTCACCTCAAAGCTGTAGCTATCAAAGCGCTTGATGTGGCAGGTGTTTTTGGCCAAAGCCTTGATCTGACATAACTCTTCCTCTTCCTGCATTCGGAGCAGTACGGGCAGTGCAGTGGTAGTTGACGCAGAACCGCCTGCCAAATTGGCAGCTGTTAGGTTTGCGACGGTTGCATTTTTCGGCTCACATTTGGGATACGTCTCTCCATACAGGCAACGCAGCCAGTCTCCCATAAACACTGGCAGCATGTTAATCACTGACCGTGCTCCGTTCTCTGTGTCAGCCACACGGACATGCTTGAAACGCCCAGTCCAGGTGACTCTGTGTCCATTCAGGTGGCTACAGAAGATCTGTGTCTGCGCCATGCCTTTAGTTTCCCAGGCAGGAGGCCCACACGCCTTGCTATACTGGTTCCAAGTCAGGGTGGAATTGTACACCTTCTGTCCCTCTGCATAGTACACGTAGATAGAGAAGAAAAGGATCACCATGGAGATACAGAGTAAAATGAGTTTGACCGGGCCACGGTGAGTGAGCGATCCAAAAACATCCAGAATGGACATGCTGAAACGTGTCCACAGCCGCAGGGTGACAGGGATTGCACAGACGACCAGGGTCACAATCATCTTTGTCAGTTCCAGCTCGAGGAACCACTTGAAGAGCTGGATGAGGAGCATGGCGGCCAGGCCAAAAGCCAGAACAGGCAGGGCAAACAGGAAGAGAAAGTAGGCCACGCAGGTGCGGATTAGACCCACAGCGGAGGAATTCTGGAGGAGCACCACCGAAAACTCACACCACATGAAGCACACAAGGTATGGAACCAGGAAGCAGTAAACCCCCCGGAAACCACGCATCCTGGCCATGCTGGAGGTGAAAATAGACAGAAAGAAGAAATTATTTTGAAGGCATACATGTATCAATTCACAAAAAAGTATACTGTATATGAAATTCACTTGCCACTAGACTCTTCAGTTGTACATGGAGGGACTCACAGGCATTAACATGTACGTGTGGCCAGATTGTCTTTTTAAGCAAATCAGAAAGAGGATTGGATAGCAACATAGGCAAAGGTAGTGTGAAGTCATTCTCTTCTCGGGATACCATGACTCCACTATATCTGAACTCACCAAGTATGAATATTTTTCATATATATATAACCTTTAAATCCCGCTGACACGATGCATTGTCTGAACTGTGTTCATAAAACACATCCAGTGTCCCAAATGCTCCTCCTCACCTGAAGAACAGATAGAACAGGTAAACATACAGCAGGCAGGGAAGACTGAGCTTCAGCACCACTGACTCCCCTAGTGGCACTGTGGCGAAGGTGTATCCCAGGCAACGAAGCAGTGTCGAGCTCTCGGGCAGGAACTGGGTCAGGCAACACAGAGATGAGGCTACCTGGATTAAAAAAGAAATACATACATCAACTTTGAGAGAACTGTTCTATTTCAAATTAACTTTTATACTGATTTTCTATCTTCCACAGATGATGTAATTTAATTTCAGTACACTATGAAAATCTACTTGTAGATGCTTACTGTCCTCTCTGTCACTCACTGTTCTCTTCATGGTCATACAGTTTCAAGCAAGGATCGCTTTATGTGGTTAAGACAATTTCAACACCCAAATCTTAGATATTGCAGTTTCCTTAAACACACCAGTGAATATGCATTACAAATGTCAAGTCTTTGCAATGTCTCTGCAGTTTCACCAATAAAAGTTAGAAAATCAATCTACAAACTTGCTCTATGTTTTATAAGATTAGGGTAATAATGTCAACTATACTATGTGATTTGTAGTTAAGAGGCTACAACATCCAAAACTGTGATTCTGATCTTTTATATGTACATCCCCTGACCTCTATGACCATTGCCCGGCGTGCATAAGTCGCAGCGGTCGGGCTGAGGCTCTTGTAGCTGACAGCAGTGAAGAAGATGGCCACAGTGGAGAGCTCGGAACAGGGGATCCAGCCCTTGTCAGCTACAGGGAAGGAAAAAATGATGAAGAAAACGGACAGGATAAAATAAAGGTACGGTTCTAGGTTGTTCCAGCCAAAGTTGGTCTCTGCCTGCTCTACATCCAGGCCAGGCTCGAAACGTGTCAGCAGAGATGTGAAGGCTCTGAAGTTCTCCCAAGTCTAAGAAAAAAAGGGAAAAGAAGATGTGAGGTCAAAGGATAAAAAGACGTTGCTGAGAGTTAAAAATAAGATGGATTTTAAATCTTCAAATTCAGTATGATGAGCAGTGGAACATCCATAAATAATTACCACCATTACTGCCAATTTTGAGACATCAGTAAGTTAACTTTTAAGTCAGAAGATCAGCGTCCACTGGTTTGAGCCTCATGACAGTAAGGAAAATGGCTATATGACTAGACCGTATGAGTTTCCCAGTGGCACAGTTTGAGAAAATAATTCAGACAAATGAAAATCTTCCCACATGTTCATCTACCTCACTACAATGAAAACCTTAAACTAAATGCACACACATTAACGTCTTGACAAAAAAGAGAAACATGTAGCAACATAGTAAATCACGATAAATCACCAACTACACTGACCTTGCTGCTCTGGAAAACACGCAGTGTGCAGATGATCATGGAGATGAAGGAGAGGTAGAAGACAAGCAAAGGGATGACAAATGCAAACAAGTCAACGGTCAGGTTACTGACGATGAAGAAGAAAATAAGAGCGTTGACGTGTTGCGTGGGGATGACTGTGCTCAGCCACTGCACACCGGCCCGCGATGCCCAGTCGACCAGGTGCTCTTTCATCTCAACAATGGAGTGCAGTGGGTACTGCAGCATCTGAGGTGAAGAGAGACAGACAGATAAAGAGAGACTGGAGGAACCATGGAAACCAGGAATGAGAGGTAAAAACATCCACGACTATTAGACAGATGTTTAATGAAGGATATACAAAAGCAGAATGAATTGTAGTGCTAGACATCATTAAGTACCATTAAGCGGGATTTCATGTCCATGGCTCTTTTCATGGCCCCAGTCTGATTAGAATCCAGCATCATCCCACTCCGGCCAAAACCCCAAGAACTTCTGTGGGCCTTCTTGTATCCTGATGGGACCAGCTCAGCCTTGTGCTTTAACATGAATACACACTAGTCTGAATAGTTACGCTTAAAACAGAGCGACATCTGTAACATTAGGATGAAAGATTATTTTTTATTTTTGCCATTTGGGTCTTTTACCTCCTCCGTGCTGACATGAGGTGTAGGGCTTTCAGTCCTGGATGCGGCCTGGCTGGCATTTGTGTTTGTAGAGGGAGAAATACCTTGTGCATACTTTTTAGTCATCTCAACAAAGTCATCCAGGTCCACCAAGTGTGTAGCTGAGATGACACAATGCAGGCAGTTATGTAAGAGGAAACGTTATATTTCTCTCTCTCTCTCTCTCTCTCTCTCTCTCTCTCTCTCTCTCTCTCTCTCTCTCTGTCTGTCTGTCTGTCTGGATACTTACATTCATTGCTGACCATGCTCTCCAGCACTTTCTGGGTCTGGCCTGAAGTTGGGCCAGGAATCTTGCTTGCAGTGCCACCTATTGGTGAGAAATGACCACAACATCAATGAGTTACAACCACTTCCCTGAAGGCCTGCATGTAATGTGATATTATTCACCATGGCAGCTGTAAATACTGAAATCACAAAGGGGAATATTGATATATTTAACAGCAATGCCAGCTATCGTATGACAACATGCAACAACATCCTGGACAGCCTGTAGTACATTAGGCAGGATTGTTGTCACAATTAAAAAAAAAAATACTTGATATGATGTTGATGGTGTCTTTATCAACAAGTGTGTGGTTATGTCTGTGTGCCCCCTACCTTGCACTGCATTGACCTGGCTGACATTTTCCAGCATCTCAGCCATAGCCACCTTCTTCTTCCTGTCTGGGTTGAGTTTCCAGTACATCATCATTGCGGCTTTACGCACTGCCAGCTCAAACTTACTCTCTGTTGACAACTTGCGCATGTCAGCCTCATTCTCTGGAGTGACTCCTGGTAGAAGATGACAAGGCAAGGAGCAGTTAAGGAACTGCAAACACAAATACAAACATGCACATGCATGCATTGAAGTCTATGACATTAACCTTTCTTCTGGATCCAACAGCGCTGGAGTGCTCTTGCTGCACCTTTCCTTCCCTGTTTAGCTGCTTTAATCAGCCAATTAACACCAAGACGATTATTTAGCTCCGTGTCCTTCTCTTCAGCAAGAATCAAGTAGTGCTGACCCAGCTGAAAAACAGAAAAGAGGAAAAGGAGAGATTAATTCAGCTTTAGTGGTACAATCAGACATGAAGTTCACCTTGAAGTTTAAATTGCATGCACATATTTATAATATATTATAAACTAGTTTGTGAAATAATGCAATTTATGCATGGAAAACCTTCACATTATTACATTAATATTGATGATTACTTCATAGTTAATTTACTTACTTAGCTTATTACTTCATAAATGGTGTTTACATATTTAATGTGATTATATAAGATAAGATTGTATGTTATATTGTTATATTACATTTATATTGCTATTGCGTTATAAGTTGTATTTGTGCTTATATCGATCAGTGCTTATATTTCTGTAACATTATAATTACTTGAATGCTGACCAATATTATTTACACTACCAGACAATGAAAAAGTAGAAACGCAGGCTACTGTGGTGATAGTGAGCAAAGCAAAGGATAGGACCATGTGGTTCAGCATCAGTGGTGAGAGCCTTATCTAGATCCTCTAGTATTATGCATTTGCATTTTGATTTAGAGGTTGATTGACCCAAACAAACAAATAAATAATAACTACCCATGTAGTTTTGATTTCATTTGAGTTGCTGTGGTTTTGAAATAGATGTATCTGAGGTTTCTGCATCCAACTCAATACAAAGCATTGAAAGTAGTTCCTAGAAAAACAGTTTATAATGACCCACTGATGACAGATGAATATAGGCCGCATAATTCGCTGTCCCTGTAGTCTCCATCACAGGCTAATTACAAGGGGTAGCAGAGGCCCCAGTGGCATATCAAGTGACTGTTTTCTAATCTTAACTTTCATTTCATAACTTCCCTCTCTCACAGTTATCATCAAATTTATTTGCAATGGGGTTACATGTGTCTTCACTGAAGTGTCTCAGCATTAATATATTCCTGTCTGTCTCTATGATAGATACAATAAGCATATTATCTCATAAATTAAACTGACAGTGCTGTTAAGGCATCTATATACTACTACTAATAATGTACATAAAAGCAACTACACTCATACCAAAAAACTAAACAGTGATTCCTGTGTATGACCTGTGTTTAAGCTGTAGGTGTATAGCATCATAATTAGTATAGCTATATCCAACCACTGAACCCATGGAGTCACATGTTGCGACATGTTCCCTTACATGCAACCCCTGTGGTTATTTAAGGGCTTCATATTTGCAAATACATGGCATATAGGATGGGAAAGTTCAAGTCGTATCACCAGCCACTTAGGAATTTACCCTTTCAGAGCTGGAGGGTCTTAAATGCAAAGTCTGGTCTCATCTTCCATGTTCAGCCGACCTTTTTCTACTGCCAGCACCTTATTTTTTACATTTGTACTTGTACTTACATGTTAATATATCATTACTATTTTAACAAATTCTGTTTGGTGCTGCAATGCACTGTAATAGTCTTCATAATTATTTGTATGTGTGACAATATCTTGGTGTATCATATTGAAAGCCTGGGATCATCTTCCAAGTGGCCAAAAATAGACACACATGCTCACAACCAGACTGAGTCAACCAGCAGGACTGAAAACAATGCCAAGTGCCAACATGTGTGCATGTGCTTTCACTCACCCGGGTCTGAGCTCTGGCATCACCGGCCTTGGCCTTTTCTTCTAACTGTTCAACAGACAAATCTTCCTCTGGTTCTTCATCTGGAGGAGAGGAGATTCCTTAAATATACACAGATCCATCTCGATCAATCGAAAACTGCTCTCTATCGATACACAATGGCCTTGCTTCCAAACTTGCATAGAGCAGTGTGATTTTTACACATTTTGTGTTCACAGCCAGCGGTGAACAGATCCCACTTGACATATATCTTGTAACATGAGAATAACAAGAAGTCAGAGGTGGAGTAGATGTGAGAGTGTGTGCATTTTAAACATGTCTGTGTATCTGTCTGTCTTCACAGATAGCTATCCTGTGACAAGACCCCAAAGTTCTGTCAACACCCTGCCTATGCAGCTCCTATGTCACACCAAGACTTAGCGCGACTGCATAAAGTTTCATTACAGTTACTTTCTCCCCTGTGTCCTTTAAGCAAAGGAGTTCAGCTTCTTTGCCTGTAGCCGTATTTTATATGTCACAGTCTCTCGTTTATTTATTGCACTTGCAGCAGCTCTTTAATGTAATTAATTAAAATTTAAATTATCAATCAATAATATCAGTTTCTCTGAAGGAATTAAAAATAATAAACTTAAAGATATTTTAGTAATTGTAAAATGTAATTGGTTCATATATTGCTGACAAATGGTTAATATATAGCAACAGAGCTAAAGCATGTTCATTCATTACCACTAAAAACAAAGTACGGCTAAGATTGATGGGAATGTCATCTGTTTTGCAGGTATTTGGCCATACACAAAAGTACTGTACGAAGGAGGCGCTGGATGAAATGTTCAGTCACCAAAAGGATCATCAAAGGTTTAACAATTCATCCAGAGGGAGGCAGTCATGTACCAAATTCCATGCCATGGAATTTACTTAAAACAACAAGTGCAAACCTTAAGGCTGGCACACGGCTAAAAGTCAGGGGATCACCAATAGCATTAGTATTCATCGTCTAGAGACAATGAACATCTACACAAAATGTCATGTCAATCCATCTGATAGTTGTTGAGTTATTTCAGTTTGGACCAAAGTGGTGACCGACTGACCATCAGGCCAACATTGCCACCCAAGAGTCTCGCTCCTAGCATGACTAAAAAGGTTCACGTGGCATGTGTTGCAGGCATGTCGAAAGGGAAGTCAAGTTGCTGCAAAACTATCTGTCTGCATGTTTACTACTCTTAACCTACCACTCGTACAGTTAAGGAGGCGTGGTAATGTAAGCTGGGATTCAATTGTTGAATTAAGTTAAAATGTTCAATAATGAAAATACTTCTATTTTATGAATTTATATTTTTGTATGGCACCTTTTATGAAAAGATGCATCCCAAAGTCTCTCCATTCTGGCCAAGAGAGCTGTTTATCCATGGGCAGGGTTACTCTGCTACACATGGAAAGACATTCCAAACCAGCACAAGGCTCATCACCTCAACACAGTAATGACTCTGTGGTCTAAGACTTCAGCTTAGGGCCATTCACAATGTGCCATTTAAAAACTCAAAATACAGGCCTTCTTACCATCCTCTTCATCAGCGGCATCCTCCTCGGCTTTCCTAAGTCTTTCCTGTATTATCACCCGCCTGGCCATGGAAACAAAGGTGCGTTTCATGGGGGCAGCAGAAGAAGCTGCAGGAGCCACAGTGGAAGCAGTAGCGGAGGAAGAAGAAGGGGGATCTGATGGAGTGTTACAGGCCAAGCTATCTGAAGCAGAAGAGGCAGAAGCGAGCTTTGAAAGAGATGAAATTTTGGGGATTTGAGGGGTAGAGCAGTTAGGAGAGGTAACATGTGTTCTGTTGGGAGCAGGAGAGGAGGGTTTAGCGGAGACAGTTTCAGATGTGGGTTTAGAGGACACAGCTGGAGACTTTGACCCCTCTGAAGAAGGAGGGGAATCCATCGGTTTAGAGATGGTTTCTGTGGAGGATGGAGATTCGGTGGGTTGAGAGGAAGAAGCAGGGATGTTATTAGAGACGAGTGAAGGAGGAATATGTGTGGGGGAGGGAAGAGTGGCTCCATCCAGGACAGGGCATGACCCTTGGGTGCTGACAGCAGTTGAGGTTGATGGGATATCCTTCTCCATGTTACCTGGAATAAAAAAGTGTGTAAGTAATTTATCACGTCACTAATGATAACCATATGGTGCAGCAACAATATCGAGGTCTTTTCTAATAGTGGGTCATCAGTGAAGACAGAGCTGGATAGAGATAAATTGGAGAGCCTTTCCTCTAGCTATTTTACGACTAAAATATGACACCTTGCCTTTGAAAGAGAGCGAGAGAAAGAGAGAGACAGAGAGTCTTGATAATGAAAGAAAGATCTATAAAACTCTGCTCTACTCAATTTGAGTCAACATTGTGAAAGTACAGATAACAATAGAATATCTATTGCAATAACAACGCAATTAAACAAAACAAAGTGGCAAATGAAAGCAGGAACAAACTGTTAAACTAATGGTGGGATCTAAGATTTACTCAAGTACCACAATTTTCAGTACTTTAGTATTTTTCATTAGTAGTATTTATACAACTACTCTATTACATCTCAGAAAGAAATTCATAAATCAATAAATCAATATTTACCATGCAAAACATATGGTCAGTTCAAACAATATGATGCATTCTTATAAATTAAACTACCAAATATTAGTAGTTTAAATTAGCAATACCTTGACAACATTAAAATGCTCCTTATATACACGGATCAATAATAATATTCCAAATAATATAGAATATATATATATATATATATAAATATAAATATATATATTTAACTGAGTGTGGTCATTTTGCATAAGGAGTACTTTTACTTTTGATCCTTTAAATAAGATTTTGACTGCAGGTGTTTTACTATTTTCCTACTGTGGTATGCAGGACCTACTTTTTCTTGAATAAAAGATCATCATACTCCTTCCATACTCCCTAATATTTCAACTTTGAAAGGGGGATATGTAGAGGTAACATAAAATCAGTTTTATAATTAGTATTACTGTAATTATAATTCTTATATAACCTATGAAATGCCTGGAGTTTGGCTCCTCCTGCACATGCGGACAGTGAATGTACGATTATAAGGGAGCTCTGAACTTCATGTCAAGTCAATTCTTAACACTAAACCTGCGCCAAGACAGCACTCAGTAAAACAACATAAAGAAACCTTACTTGGTGGCTAAATGAGCCAGTTTCTTCAGGATAGAAAAGTCAACTGTCCTCCTGAGTTTAAAAGTTGTGTCTGTAGTCCATGCTGAACTCCATGTACTCCACACAGCTCCGCGAAACCAGAGACGCACACCGACTGCGCTCAAACTCTCATGTGTCTGGACTAACAACGGCACAACTTTATGGCCGCCCTCTTGAAATAGACTGACACCTAATAGGTTGAAATAAACGCCCATTAAATGGCCATCGTATCTGATTGGTTACTAGTTCACTTAGTTTTCTCAATGTAATATACACTTTGAAATAGAGGGTGGCTGATGTCCTGTGGGGATGCATGTGTAGTTATTTCAAGTTAATGGTTGCACCATAAGAAGATTACGGGGCCAAGTCGAAAGCTATGCGGGCCTCCTCTTAATCGAGTCTGACCCTCGACCGGGGACAATGAAATCATCAATTCCTATTGATCACTAAAACAATGATAAGTCACTTTGAGTTTAGTTCCTGCTTAATGGATCATCGGTTAATGAACGTTGACAGGTACTTCATACATGATTATCACAATATGACATAATCACAATACAATTACACCAGGTTGATCACTGTAACAGCTTTTAATGAGAACACGTAGCATGTTCTGCTTTCAGAGGCTCATCAAATGTATCTGCACTTAAATGCTGATTTCTATTGCACTTTATCAGATTTGTTGACATATAAATGCACATGAAGTAACTGTGGGGTAACATTAATTAACTGATGATCCATTAAGCATAAATTAATCACATGAACTCATAGTGACTTGATTATTGTATTTGTGATACATCCTGCATTAATTGCGTTTGATCGCCATGAGTCATTAATTAGTTATAAGGATATGATTGTCTTACCTATTAATATTTTTTTATTTATTTTTAGTATTACTACTATTACTAATAATAATTATTGTTATCATAATAATGATAATCATGTCACGTGTAGGCCTGCTTCCAAATACATGTATTCCACATAGTGCCAAACTGTGTTACATGTGCACAGCGTGCGCATTCCAACAGACTACATGTGTTGTGTTGGTGCATTGTTCCTCTGGGAGCTGTCCACCTGCGCAAGTACTGAAAAAACAGTCCCCAGTGTGTTTCTCTCTCTCTCTCTCTCTCTCTCTCTCTCTCTCTCGCTCGCCCTTTCATATGGGCCAATGAGAAGGACAGTCTGTTGCTGCCTGGAACACTGTCGGCTCACATCAGCAAACATCCCATGAGCAGGCAGGTCACTGACCTGCCGGCTCAGTCGAGATAAAAAGCACCTGCTGCAGCCTGGAGTCGTACCTGCAGCCTGCACTCAGTCTAGGCTTGTGTCTGGGAATAGACCAGCCCCCCCAGTTAACTCTCTGTCTCACAACGGCAGTTAACCCTGAAGGCACCATTTAACAATCTGTCTATTCCTCCAGATGTGGGTTAGAGATGACACAGTATGTTGCCTTAATCCGCTGATGGTGTGACCCCCCCCCACACACACACATTAAAGGGAAAGAGAGAGGGATGGTAGAAAGACATGCTCTCCTTTTATACGCGTGGTCACTAACTATAGGCTCTTCACAATAAAACTAGTTCACACTGACACTCCTCTAATTAAAACTAGAGCACTGCATCATTTCACTTGTTTTGTGTGTGTGTGTGTGTGTGTGTGTGTGTGTGTGTGTGTGTGTGTCTGTGTGTGTGAAGAAGTAGCCCGGAGAGAGCAGCTTTTCACAGTTCACAGAGCGCGCTTGAGAGGCGGGGCTGTCTGTGACCCGGTTTAGACGTGAAATCAGCTAGACTTCTGTCTCCATCGTTTCAGATTCGGGGATAGTCTCCGTCTCCAGTGAAAGCCACAGCAATGTCTGACTGCAGAAGGCAGTGGAACCGGGAGGATGAGCTGCCGGTCTACCTGGCGGGACCGATCAGCACTGGGCCGAACCAAAGGAAAAGCTTCGGGATGTTCAGCTCCGTGGAGGGGGCGTTTGAAAGCAAGACCATAGACTTCGACAATTACGCGGTGGGGAGGAAAGGGAGCCGCACCCCAAGAAGCGGGAGCCGGGAAAGGGTCTTGGATGCAGGTCACCCTATCGAAAAGACGCCCAGCCAGGTCCGGGAGGGGTCACTGACTGACTCGCCCGGGGAGACAGACGACGGACGCCCCGGTGTTGAGATCGGATATTCATCCGGGAAGGAAAGCCCGAATTTGAAGGTTGTGCTGACGATTTTACTTTTTTTTGTCTCTGTGTCTGGCTTTTTGGTTAAATTCTGATGGCTGTGTCATGTGTGAGCATGCTTCCTGATAAATACAATAGCCTTACACATCAAGTGCTGTAACACAAAATGCTGGGAACTGTTGGCCTATATAAAGAAAGAACAAAAACGACTGAAAGCATTCATGACATATACGAAAAAAGGTGTTGTATTGGTCTCGTTTTGGGACATGTGTCGTCTTATTAATTTCTAACGCCTGTGGAGTTTTTATTCTGAGGCAAATGCATCAGTCTGCATAAATGATGAACTTTTGTGCTGCAATGCAGTTTGGCCATTTCGGTTTCCGTCTACGCAGCTCAAACAATATTCTCCAAAAATACACAAAGGCACGTCGACACACTGACGCTGTCATCTGTGGTGCTGAACCGGACAGCGACACGCAGCACCGCGCGGTATTGTTTTTGTGATTTCACGTGAGCTGTTTGTGCGCGCGCCTGTCTGGGGGTGTGAGGCGCACAGTCTTTTCTCCGGGCCGTGAACGCCTCCGGCCAGACGCTCGCTTTCCGCACGCGCACGCGCACGACCAGGATCGTCACCTGTCTCTCACTGCATCATCGCTCTTCCTCTCTCACACACGGAAACACTAACACACATCGGGGGGGAGGCAGAAGGGGGCGCAGAGCGCAGCGCAGGGCGCCGGGGTCATCGCAACCCGCTTCTAAGTTGACTGCCCGGGGGCAGAGCGACGGAGAGAGAACATGTCTGGGACCGGTTACCAGGGGAAGAACAGCATCCCCCATCTGACGGTAAGCGACCCGGCCTGGTCAGCGGCGGCGTTGGCATGAGAAGCTCTCCGCTCGTATGCAAATCCCTCCTTCCAGTGCCGGCAGAGAGGGGATTAAAATCTTAGTGAGGCAGCAAAGAGCAGAAGGGCCCTTTACTGTTTCTCCTGCGTGAAAACCAGGTCGGAGAGGTGTCCATTCTCAGTGTCTTGTGTGTCAAATCGAGCGCGTATTCTCGCTCAGGGTTGGACAGTGTTGTGTAATCTCGTCGCCTGTCAGAGGGATTAAGTCGGTTGACGTGACGGTCGAACCTACGCACGCACAGGAAACAATGGCTTGCATTAAACAACACTGCAACGGTGTGAGGGTGGAATTGTGCAAAGATGCATCCTTCAGCTAAAGCATTCTGCAGAAAGCCTCCTCTATCGTATCCAGAGTATTATTAACTGCCAAATGAATCCAAAGGCAACATACAATTAACATACCCAAGCATGGTGGTGACAGAAAATTGGCAACAGACTGTGCTCCTTTTTGTTAAGCAACCTTATTGGCCAAAGATGCTGAGGATTCAACAGGGCTGTCAGCTGTCGTCATCTCGCACGATGGGTGATCGCCGGTTGCCACGGAAACCTAACATCTTCCAAATGCTGTTGCCAGGCGCTCTGCATGGTGGTAGAGGGTGTGGATGCATGCTCGACTGAGAAAAACGTGCTTGTTTTACACCTGCTTCTAAATATTCAGCATTTAATTGTACTTTATTATTATACAGCACTAATATTAGCTTATGTGAGACCCCACCCATATACAGCACTTGTGAGGCTCCGCATTTCTTTCCACCCTCATCAACTGTGTCATAATATTTCTATAAGGTCATGGATTACATAACTGATTATGCAATATATCAAAATGTCAAGACTGAATTCAACCCCTCTTGTACCTCTCCCTCCCTCCCTCCCTCCCTCACTCTCTCTCTCTCTGTGCTTCTCCCCTGCAGAGTGAAAGGCTGTTGATCAAAGGAGGGCGGGTGGTCAATGATGACCAGTCTTTCTTTGCAGATGTCTACATTGAGGATGGGCTCATCAAGTGCGTATATAAGAAGCCAATTATGTCAAAGAACTGCAGAGGCATACACATATTGCAGGCGATAATGATTTCACTTCCATATTCCCTTCATGCCCTTTTCTATCTCCTCATCCTCCACCAACCCCTTTTCATCCACACCCATATATTTCCCGCTGTCGTCTCTACACCTCCTCACCCCTTTTTTGTCGCTACACACATCTTATCCTTGGTAGGCAGGTGGGGGAGAATCTCGTCGTACCTGGGGGTGTCAAGGTGATCGAGGTTAATGGCCACATGGTGATACCAGGGGGGATAGATGTGAACACCTGCCTGATGAAGCCTTACCTGGGCACAAACCCTGTTGATGATTTCCTCCAGGGCACCAAGGCTGCACTTGCCGGGGGCACCACCATGATCAGTGAGTGTGGATGCCACAGTGCATTGTGTAACCACATATTCATTCAAGTACTGAGAAATATTGATCACATTCTGTCCATCTTAACTTATGACCCCTCCCACCTTTCAGTTGACCATGTGACCCCTCAGCCCGGGGACAGTCTGCTGGATGCATTCGAGTGCTGGCAGGAGGCTGCGGATAAGAAGGCATGTTGCGATTACTCCCTGCACGTAGACATCCCCCAGTGGAATGAAACTGTTAAAGATGAGTTGGAGCTCCTGGTGCATGAGAAAGGTACATCATTTTCTTCTTACTCCATGATATTTCAGAGCTGTGGTCATTGCTGTAATACTTCATGTTCTCATGTTTATCCCTATTTTGGACCCGTTTCACAGGAACAATAGGGACTGATTTAGAAACAATTTGGCCCAGTGTTGAATCCTCTTATAGTGAAGTCACAGCGGAAATCCATTGTCCTCATTATGGTGCTGTCATGGTGGCAGGGTATAAATTCAGCTTGTAATCTGTTTTAAGTAAAAAAAATAAATAAATCACTTTTCTTTTGGGGAAGCTACAACATAAAGCAGTAACTGAGCCAAGGCAGCTGCCTGTGTGATCAATTTCTTTCAGAAATAAAGTTGAGAGTTGTAATTCTTTGACGCAGATGCCAGACATAAACAGAAAAGGTTGTAGATCAGGTTCTATATTTTGTAACTAGAAGTTTGCCCTTCATCTTGACTGTATTTATTGCATTTCATGATGCATTATTTCGGCTACACTCGCACAGTTTGTCTTTGTAATCCTTGCTGCCGAGCTCCCTTTTATTACATTCTTGTCATGAATACATCATTTCCACTGTTGTCAGGTATCAACTCCTTCCAAGTGTACATGGCGTATAAGGACGTGTACCAGATGTCAGATTCTGAGGTATGTTTCATACTCACTTATACTGCACTAATGCATTAATGACTAATTTTTTCGTGTCTTTCTGCTCTTTCCTTTCACCATTAATACCTTTTTTGTTTTTTGGACTCATCTCGCCCTCAGCTGTATGAGGCTTTCTCCTTCCTGAAGCAGCTGGGTGCTGTGGTGTTAGTTCATGCTGAAAATGGAGACCTTATTGCTCAGGTAAGTGCTACAAAACCTCTTCAAAAGAAGTCTGACTCACTGTGTGTCTCTTAGTGGCAACTGGCAACCCATAACTCTTGTTACACCATCACAACCCGTTTCTTTACCTTCACCTTTTAGCCTCCAGACACAGCAGTTTACTGTGATGAGAGAACTAACAATATATAATGACTGAACTAAATCACCACCAATCTTTTATCTTTATTGCCCCATGCAACCTCCACTGCAGTTGAAAGATATTCTTGTTACATAACTCCCCAGAGCTAAAGAAAGAGAGAGGGAGAGAGAGAGAGAGAGAGAGAGAGAGAGAGAGAGAGAGAGAGAGAGAGAGAGAGAGGATTAATTCTGCAGCTGCTAGGTATGACAGGTTTATCATAGGCCACCATTGCTGTTGACCGTTATTATACTAATGATGATGATGTAATGGTGATTAAGATGGTGAGGGTGAAGGTGCTGATAATGCTGACAAGCACTGAAGAAAAGTAGTAGTCGTGGTCATGGAGATGACGATCCTTATTAAGGGGACAATTATGACAAAAACCGTGATGTATTTGAAGATAAATGAGGGTAATGGATGATAATGGGAGTGCTGATGAATGATAATGATACACTTGTTAACCAAACTGTAATGGAAAAAGAAAGATGGATGATGAAAAACGTTTAGAAGCTCCAACCCCCTTGAGAACAATGAAATCAAAGAAATGATAAAAAAAAAAAGAAACAGCAGGGGGTTGGGGTCTGGTTTTCTCCAGACTATGCTGTTGGAAGCACAGCAACTTGGCATTCTAGGATTACAGTGCACACTTTTGATAGTGTGACAGACCATGCAATTTTAATTTTACAGGCAAAATATACCAATAAAGGCACTAATACGTTAATCTTGTGGATAAAACATGAAGTACTTTATGTAATGCTGACAGTTATTATAGTGGCTATGAAGATAATTGTTTACATTTGTTTTTTAGGAACAGAGAAAAATCCTCGGAATGGGGATCACCGGACCTGAAGGCCATCCTCTGAGCCGTCCTGAAGAGGTGATACAATTATTGCATACCCCATTATCCACTGATCCATCCATCTATGCATCCATCTATAGGTTTCAATATTTTCGTTACTTCCTGTCAATGCAGCTTGAGGCCGAGGCGGTGTTCCGTGCCATCACTCTTGGCAACCGTGTGAACTGTCCTGTCTACATCACCAAGGTGATGAGCAAGAGTGCTGCCGACACTATCACCCAGGCCCGTAGGAAAGGTCAGCCTCTCTTTCTTTTCATTCTTTTACACATCAGATTCACAATTGTTTCATGTGTCTGTGTCTATTTGAATGACTTCCACTGTTTATGAACATCTCCTTATAAAATCCTGACCATCACTCTCCCACTATCTTACCCTCCAGGTTCTGTAGTTTTTGGGGAGCCAATTACAGCTAGCCTGGCCACTGATGGTTCTCACTATTGGAGCAAGAACTGGGCCAAAGCGGCTGCTTATGTGACCTCTCCACCTTTGAGTCCGGACCCCACAACCCCAGACCACCTCCACACGCTGCTGGCTTGGTACGTCTTAAACCTTTTCAGAAATGGATGCACATGATGCAAACTGAGTAAATGCACTAAAGTCTCATTTTAATGCAAGTCCCCCCACTTCTTCAAGTATGTGATGATAATTCTCTAAGAAGCTTGACGCAATATATAGCCTACAGTATATTTCATGAGCACTGGAACATGTAAAAACTTTTCTAATTAATGCAGAGTGAGGGCAGAAAAGTGCTTAATTTAGCTATAACCTCTGCAGAAAGTGAAATGCAAATCAGCTGGATGACACCAAAGGAGACACCTACAAGGATCTTACTCTCACTGCCTTTAGATAGTAGTTTGGTATTCATACCACAAACAACTCCTAGTGTAATGCACAATGTCAGACCAGCTTGAGTGCAAAAGAAAAACAGATGGAGAGAAGGTGAAGGTGAATGAGGAGAATGAAAGATTAATAATGGATAAAGGACTTGTTTGAATGTCTGTATAAAGTATATGAATATCTTTATTAATGTATAAAGGTAAAATACATGCATGATAGCAAATTAAGTTGTAATTCATGAGCATAAGGAGGGATAAAGTGCCCCAGACCACACCCACCTCAGTTCTCACTTCAAACACACACACACACACACACACACACACACACACACACACACACACACACACACACACACACACACACACACACACACACACACACACACACAGAAATACACAATGCACAGAACATCCTGCTGTACAGTTTTGACTGTCCCCGATTCCATAAATAGAACAAGAGCTAGAATCCTTCATCATATGTTGCCTTGACTACCAACTGCCTTCCTCCTCCTCCTCCTCCTCACTCCTCTTTCACCCTTCATCTGCAACTCCAGCTTCTCAGGGTGGGTCTGTGTTGTCACACTGGTGGTGTGATACTGCTGTTACATTTGAGCTTCTGCTGAAGCGACAGGGTGTATTTTTAGACTCTTTTTCGAGAACAAAAGAACGGAACCTTACCTCGCTTTTCAGTGAGGCCCATTATTTCCATAATAAGCACTGTCATGGCATTTGGATGGTGATCCCAGAGCTCACTATCATAAAGTAATCACTATAATTAACAAAAACCTTAGATGAGAAATTATGCTTACTATAGGTTTTTAACTGATTCATCCTTTTGTATATTCAGGGGTAAAGTGAGTATATACGTTGATTGCTTTTTGATAATGCAGTGGATCTTGCAGCTGCGCTGCAGCATTCTGACTGGTTCAGCTGTCTGGTGTTTCTGCCCCTGGCCACTCCATGACTTGTACTTTAACTCTCATGCTCCATGAGGACACCTGGTGGCTTATCGTGTAAATATCTGTCTTTATGTCTGAATGTGAATATTGTCTTTAACTGATTTTTGAAGCCAAACGCCCTGTAACTGGCCATGTGCTCACAAAGATTGAGCTGCCTGTATTCAAGAGGTCAAGGCATTTCAAATCTCAGCAGGGAAAAATATAACATTTGACAGGTGAATGACTGAAGTGTTCTGTTGATTTTGTGTTGTTTATGTTGTTGGCTTGATACAGTGGGGATCTCCAGGTGGTAGGTAGCGCTCACTGCACGTACAGCACTTCCCAGAAAGCAATTGGTAAAGATGACTTCACCCTGATCCCAGAGGGAACAAATGGAGTGGAAGAGAGAATGGGTTTCGTCTGGGACAAGGCCGTGGTGAGCAAATGAGGACGTGTGTGTGTGTTTCTTTTGTGGAGCGTGAGTTTAGTCTACCTCTGCTAACAACCACTTCTTTGTCTCTTAGGCCATGGGGAAGATGGATGAAAACCAGTTTGTGGCAGTCACATCTACCAACGCTGCTAAAATCTTCAACCTATACCCACGCAAAGGCCGGATAGCAGTGGGCTCTGATGCTGACATTGTTATCTGGGACCCTAACAGCGTCAAAACCATCAGTGCCAAAAACCAGCAGTCGGTGAGAGCAAAAGAAAATAGAAAGGGAGAAGGAAAGGAAAAAGAAAAGGAAGGATGGATAAATTGTTGAATAATATACAAGGAGCAACAAGGTAATTCATCTGATGTTCTGACAATTAAACTGATCTTCAAATACTGCATAAGTTGAGGGAGCAGAAATGCATGAAGGACAGGAGGCAGGAGAAAGGCCGCAGGAGAGACGGTTTCAGATGGGAGATGGTAGTGTGTGGAATAGGTAGAAAACAAAGAGAAAGATCACAGGAGGTTAAGAGAAACCTGAAATGTACTTATTTATTAAGTTGCAATGCAATATTCAGTCTACTCTGGCGTTACTGTCAACAGTATAATGCCATATTGCATAGGTGTGGTTGTATAATAGAAAAGAATAATGCAATACATGCATGAGATTATATCCACAACCACTGATTATTAAGGTTATACGAAAGCGAAAGTTCTCTTACAATTGAGTATGGGATATATCTCGAAAGACTTGGTTCCAAGAAGATCATAAAAAACAATTTTCTTATTTATTTCAAGTGGTATCTGGACATGCAGCTAGGTTTTAGGCTTTTTTTTAGGTATAGGTTCTTTTTAAATGTTTTTCTCAGATTTGTGTTTTTTTTTTCAATCTAAGATTTGAATGAAATACTCATACCATTATTACATTTACAATGACACTGAAATTTCCACAAAAGAGAGTAGTTCCAGTGAAAGCTTTTCACAATGAGGACTGTGGTTTTAATCCTTTGATTGCCGAGAACAAAACAAAAAGTCTTCCTTATTCATATTGGGATGGCATTAGAAATCTTAGTGAATCACATTTCAAAACCTAGACAAATAAAGTCATAGCTATCTTTATGGCCAGATGCCCTCAGAAGTAAGTAAGAAAATATATATATATTTTTGCAATTTACATAAACCAACCTTTTAGATCTCAAGACTATGTATTCAGCAGGATGGCCTTAGAGGTGCAAATTTGCCATGGGCAAAGTGACACAACACAGTGAAAGATATTACACAGTGGGTAACGTATTCATTCTGCTCTGCCACTCTCAAAGACCCTAATCCAGACCGGTGCCGGATTTAGTTTATAATCCCCCTTCACCCCTCAACCATTCTGTGCTACCATCTTTCTACCCATCCCCCTGTATTCACACTGTCGCTCCTCCTATATGCCCCAAGCCTCTCACTTATTCAACCCCCATCTTCTCAACTGCATACCCCATCAATTTTACTGCATGTATTAAGCCTTCTGATACAATGCTTGCTGAAATAGCACAGTGGGCCAAGCCAGTGTAGGGTATCAGTGTTCTAAATGGTGGTGGGGATGAAAGAGCTGTCCCTTGTCAATCCGTGTAATCCCTCTTTTTTCCACATTCTTTGTCTTGTATGTGTGTTATCCTTCTGCACACAGGCTTCAGAATACAACATCTTTGAGGGTCTGGAGTGCCGTGGGGGTCCAGTGCTGGTGTTGAGTCAAGGTCAGGTGGTTTATGAGGAAGGCAAGCTGCAGGTTCAGCAGGGTACCGGTCGATTTATTCCCCGCAAGCACTTCCCAGACCACGCTTACCAGCGTGTTATGTTCAGGAACCAGGTACAGTACACTGATATTTCTGCAGTCATATAGACATTTAAAAATATTTTCCATTAAAAGATTAGACAAGCAGTCAACATCCAGTAATAGTTTCCACATAACTGCACTTCTTCTTCAAAAATACTTTCAAAAATACACACTGATAGGTAAGTGTCAGTTTAATTTGGTTTTCTGTGGTTTATTGGCAAGATTCTAATATATTTATAAATACAACATGTCAGACTTTGTTAGACATTGACTGATAACATCTTGGACTTATTTCCATTGTTGTCCCTGGTGTTTTTACAGTCCACAAACCATTTTTTTTAAGATGGATAGAGGTGATTAAGAAATATTAGAAAAAAGGGACCTAAAAAACTAAAAAAATGAATCGTATTAACAATTGATAAATTTTTTTCAGGAAGCAGAACAGGTAAAAGGTATCTTAGACACCCAAAAGAAAAAAATCATCATCATCATAAAAGCCAACAGACAACTGTCACTTACCAAGCTCTAACTTTTGTTGTGCATCGTTACGGTAGGAAAACTGAAGCAAGAATGTAGCTTCACATTTGATCATAAGCTATAAAGTAAAGGTAAATAATGTATTTAAACAATATTTAAACAATATAAATATACTGGTTTTACCATGCCAAAAATAACTGTAACTGATGAGTTACAGCGATTTTGCTTCTGAGGAATGACTAATAGCTTAGCCTTGCGTTTGTGTCTCTGTTTTCTATCCAGATGAAGGGAAAGGAGGCCGTTACTCGTGGGATGTATGACGGCCCTGTGTATGATGTGGTCCCAACCCCCAAATATATTACTCCTGCTCCATCGGCCAAAAGTTCACCCACCTCTCACCAACCACCACCAATACGCAATCTTCACCAGTCCAACTTCAGCCTGTCAGGTAACAGAAACAATATATTTGATAAGTTTTAAAATCCAATGATTTCATTAATGTGTTGAATGTATACTGAAGGTTCTGAATTAAGTAGTTTTCTAATATTTAAGTAAATCAATGTAATATCTTAATTTTGTTCCAGGGGCACAGACTGATGACAATGTCCCTCGTCGGTCTGGCCACCGCATTGTAGGACCCCCCGGTGGTCGCTCCAACATCACCAGCCTTGGCTGAACACCTGTCTTTGCACAAAGTGTGGTTGTGGGACTTCACCTCTTGAGTGTGTGTGAGTGTATGTGTATGACTGAGAGTGCGAGCACACTGGCATGAATGAATACCTTTGTATTTTTTTAGTACAATGGTGACATGCTCTTTTGATTTGTATCAGTTTGCCTTGAGTCCATGGTCACAGAGATGAAGCACATTAATGCTTCCAGTTTTAGAAGAGTGTGATTTACAATCAACCAAGTCGTTCAGAAATATGAAAAACTCACAATCGGGGCACTCACTCACACACATAGATCTGGTGTTGGACCCCCTCCAAGCACCCAAATGTGACTTCAGTGTTATGTCATAATGTTATCTCCTTTACCGTGAGCATGACTTCCTCCTTATTCTTCCTCAAATTCCACGTCTTACTGTGTGGGTCTGCTCAGACATGGTGCTCCTTTCCACCCATCTGGTGGACAGCTGAAGAAATAACAGATTTCTCCTGCATCTGTTTTTCAACATCTTCGCAATATTTGTTTCAATGTGGCTCAAGTGGATCAGTTATACATATTGCATGAACACGTCTTTAGATGTTGCACTACTTGTGGTTTATTGTTACAATTGAGGAACACTTATAATTGTACTCAAGGCACAGCTGTATTCAACAACACAAACATATTCTTATACTGGTAAATATATGCTTTGAACACAAAATGACATACACTGTGGATAGAGCCAGCTGTTACTAGGTTCAAAACACATTAATTCATTTTAACATTACTGTGAACTTCAATAAAAGCAATGCAACTTCCTCTCCACCATCAGATACTATTATGCAAATGTGTCAATACTCTATAAAGTGTGAAAGTAGATGAAACAAATACAAAAACAGCTGCTGAAAAGGGATGCAAAATGAATTTCTAGATGGTTGTACATCCAGAATAGAGTTTCACAGTAAAGACTTTATGATGTGTTTGATAGTTTTTTCTGCCAATCGCTCATGCCAGAAATAGATCTTTGTTGTAATGACATGCTCAACTCACTGCTGTAAAAGGGCTTCAGCTCCCACCCCTGCTGTTTGAAACTTCACTAAGAATCTTTTTAAGCTGTTTTTATTTCATTTTATTGATTCTGGATGTTTTCTTGGTAGATTTAGTGTTTCTATACCGCTCTGTTTTGTTGCTGTTGTCTGGTGTCTCCAATGGAACCACTAATGATCAATAAAGACTTGACTGTTGCAAAATACGATGGTTAGACAAACATTCCTGAGTTTAATATCAGTGTAACACAACTAATATTACGTGTGGCTCCGACTGTAATTGCACGTCCTAGCTCATGCCGTGTCTTTGCTGAATTTCGCTGGCAAAAATAATTAGTGCAAGAGCTTCAGTTATGGCAGTATGGCTTTCACACATATCACGCCAAAGGAACACATCCATCCACCCAAGAGATATAATCACATAAAGCAAAATTCCACTTCAATTCAACTTCAAAAGCCTGTGCTGTGTTCATTTTGCAGCATTATTTTTTCTTTTTCTCTAAGAGACAAGGGAATGTAAAGTTGCGTGCTGTGAAAACTCAAAATACCTTAAAAGCTGTGGAAGAAGAACAATGTAATCAGGTGATTTTGAGGGTCACTCTGACCACAAGGAGCGACATCCATTTCATGAAAATGGGTTAAGTGTGTGACAAACATGAATTACGTCTGATGCGGGAATAAATTCTTATTTGAAATGCGTTTAAGCTATACGCTTGGGTTGATGTACATAACAGCAATAAAGCTAAACATTACCCTAACACATATTATATGTGTATAATAATTTGTAGGGTTTTATAGGGTATTATAGGGAGAAAAAAATAATTGAATGAATAGTTGAAATGGAAGTGGACACAGATGATAACTAAAAACAGTGATATGCAACCTCAGGAGCAAATATTACACTGTGAATGAAATTACAATTTTTATGGATCAGGACTGAATGTAGGCTATGAGGTTATAAAAGCTTTGTGGCAATTTAGTTCAGTGTCTGCTTATAGCCTCATTTCAGAAATGCATAAAGGACTGCTCAGACAAATTGAACTGAAAAGTACTAAAATGAAATCATTTTGTATCTGTTGGGTAAATAAATGAACGGACAGCAGAGGGACTGATTGTCACTTCTTCCTTCCAGCATAAATATTTAAGTGAAAATATTTAATAAGATTGATCAGTCAGCTGGAGAACCAATTTAAAATGTACTGTCATTACAAAGCACTAATGGTTACCAAAATGAAAATTGAAATTTAGCCATTAAGACACTTTTTTCATGTTTACTTGCTTTTCAGGTGTAGGACATTACATTTTGTGTAAGGAACAGGATCCTTAATAAGATTACACACTTTCTACTTTACAGTTATGCTGTAATGTTCAACTAATTGTTTTTAATTTAGTAGTTATACTAATTCAATATGTTACTTGAGCAGCTGTAAAATGTCTTTTTTAAATGTTTTTGTTTGTAAATGTGAAGGGTCATGACACAACAGAGCCTCTGGCCATAACTGCAATGCAAACGATATTATCATGCACATTAAACAACAGACTTTGTCATTTTGCCCTTCCAACTGTGGACCGGTTAATTGAAACAGAGACTAAAAGAATCACTGGTGGTAGCGAAGGAGTGAAGAGCAATGCCAAAGATCTGGATGGATGTGACATGGAGAAGGACTTCTGATAAGCCTAGCGGAAGGACCCCTGGGTGCTGAATGTGATGAGGACTGAAGGTGAATGGGGTGGACTGAAATGACAACTGACAAGCAGAGAGAGGAGCAGTTTTAAATTTGGACAACCAACATGAAGATTGGTTCACAGGGAAATGATAGGTTTAACCGAAAAAGTGAAACGCCCACCCTCACCTGATTTAGCTGGGGAAAAGAGAGGGAAAAAGAGAGGGAGAGAGAATGACTGGGCAGGATGATAGTCAGTCTTCCTGACTGAACTTCAGCTAAGCTTCATTTGTGCCAGTGACGGCATCAGGGACTGTACAAGTGTATCTGTGCTAGTATGGAGGAGGTCAGCAGAGGGCGTTCTGAGGCTATAAGCCCAACTGTAAGGCAGTTAAAGGGGTAATATGAGGTTTTCAATCATTAAAGTGGCAGATGAGAGACGTTTACTCATGGTGGACTTACACTGATCAGCCACACATTATGACCACTGACGGGTGAAGTGAATGACACTGATTATCTCATTATCATGGCACCTGTCAGTGGGTGGGATATATTAGGCAGCAAGTGAACATTTTGTCCTCGAAGTTGATGTGTTAGGAACAGGAAAAATGGGCAGTGTGAGGATTTGAGCGACCAAATTGTGATGGCTAGACAACTGGGTCAGAGCATCTCCAAAACTGCAGCTCTCGTGGGGTGTTCCCGGTCTGCAGTGGTCAGTACCTATCAAAAGTGCTCCATGGAAGGAAAAGTGGTGAACCAGAGACAGGGTCATCGGCAGCCAAGGCTCATTGATGCATGTGGGGAGCAAATGCTGCCCGTGTGGTCTACTGTAGCTCAAATTACTGAAAAAGTTAATGCTGGTCCTGATAGAACACACAGTGCATCACAATTTGTGGTCTGATGAATCACATTTTCTTTTGCATCTTGTGGATGGCCCGGGTGAGTGTGCGTTGCTTACCTGGGGAAAACATGGCACCAGGACGCACTATGTGAAGAAGGCAAGCCGACGAAGGCAGTGTTACGTGATGGGTGAGGTTCTGCTGGGAAACCTTGGGTCCTGCCTTTCATGTGGATGTTGCTTTGATGTGTACCACCTACCTAAGCATTGTTGCAGACCATGTACACTGTTTCACGGTATTCCCTGATGGCAGTGGCCTCTTTCAGCAGGATAAAGCGCCCTGCCACAAAGAAAAAATGGTTCAGGAATGGTTTGAAGAACACAACAACGAGTTCAAGGTGTTGACCTGGCCTTCAAATTCTCAAGATCTTAATCCAATTGAGCATCTGTGGAATGTGCTGGACAAGTCAGATCCATGGAGGCCCCACCTCACAACCAACAGGACTTACTATGAGTTGGTCCCAGATATAGCTCAACTGTCAGGGCTGTTTTGGCGGCAAAAAGTGGACCTACACAATATTAGGCAGGTGGTCAGAATGTTATGGCTGATTGGTGTATGTTTATTGTTTAATGTAGTGTTTTTGTATAAAGAGACTGTAATGTAGTTTAGGTGCAGTGTGTACATGTCAGTGTTTAATGTTATTGTGTATACTCACTGTTTAAACTCAAGTAAATAGTAAATCATAGTCTAATAGGCAAATTACAATTTTGATTAATATAATGAAACCTTTGGTGTTGATATATAATGTATGTTTCAGCTTGTTATCAGTTTGAACATGATTTCACTGAACGTGTCACAACACTGTATATAATTAATTTTTCCGCATCTGTAATATATCTACACCCATCTGGAATGTTTCCTTTTATTGTAGTCCTTGACAATAACAGCTAATTTACCTCTCTTAATTTCATTTGGCAGAGATTGGCATAACTTGTTTTAAAGTGTTTTCTCTAAGGAAAACTCTTTAGTAGATGAGTTTGTTAGAAAATGTGTTTTTTTTTTTTTTATATGTACACTCCCAATCTTTCCTTACACACAATGGAGCAACTTTCTAATTCTACATCATGATTACAAAGATTTTCAGTGTACATCTGAAACAAGGAGGATTTTAAATTATTTGTAGCAGATATGGGTGCTCTGTAAACATGACAAAATGCCTGCATGCTCTAACGCATTGCAGACTGGTTATAGCACATAGTTTAAAATATCTGCAGATATGTGATCTTCCCAGTGAAACCTCTACTAGCTTGAGATTTTTTGTTTATTCATAACATACTGGCTGTGTATGTGAAAGTAACACTTTGTTGTTTCTGCTACAGATGAACTGATTCCAGACAACATCACCTTCACAGAGATCAACAGAGACCTGCATGCTGCCGCTGCCATCTGCTCTGGGAGCAAACCAAAGGGATGTAATATTGAGGTTGTGAGACTGGAATTATGCAAGTTTTCCATTTTCTGCAGCAGGTCATGAAATCACAGAAATGGGAAACAGTGCAAAACAATGGCTGTGTGTTCAGGGTATACAGAAGTTTGAACAGGTGCCATAACAATGCAGAGGTGTCTCATCCCTTGAAAGGAACGGGCTGCTGTTTGGCAGCAGAGGGCCCGACTGCATCCAGGCAAATTACTGAGCCAGCTGTGCTGTTCTTCCACGACTGGTGGTCCCTCAGGTCTCAACTGTGAATATCTGAGCTGCATCCAGCTACTATGCAATAAAAAAAAAGAAGAAGTTGTATTTCTCCCCAGAATGCGGTTAAGTTGTGAATAACATCCAATCAAAAACTAACAATAAAATCTATTTACCTTTAATAGATATTTGATAAATGTATTAGCATTTCAAAAGCTGGAGCTTTCCCTAGGGACTAGAAACCTTGGGAGGAACTACTGCAGGGACCAGGGTCTATAATAAGTTCCAAGGACATTACTTTACACCCCCATGTTCAGGGCTTGTGGCACTGAACATTTCTGATCGGTTGAGTGCATGCAGCATTTTATTTCATTTTTTTCTCTATATTTATTCCTTGTGCTTTAACACATTCACATCCACAGGTCCAAAACTGCAGTTGGTGTCTCTGAACACCACAGTTGTCTTTAGGTCCTTATGAAATCTTGTTCACATCTTTCATTTACCTCATGATGTTTTTTTATTGAGGTAAAAAAAAAAGACATCTACATAATTTTATCGACTATTCGACTGCAGCCTCACTGTTGTATAGCCATGTGCAAGAATGACGTGTTCATTCATTTTTCACTGTCAACAATACATTTCCTGGTTCATTTCAGTGATGAAAAGCAACATTTAATATGTAAAAATCTGAAACACAAGGCAAAATTGAAATTGGTTACAATTAGCTCTTAGAGAGTGTTGCACTGTCGATAGTTGTTTAGGTTATCTTTGTTCCAACATCATTCTTATTGTAAAGATTTACTATGTTTGACTTAATTGATGAAATACATTATCGACTCTCTTTACCTGATACATTTTAAAGTATTTTAAAAGAATAAATTTTGCTACAAAGCTAACAGATGAAATCAACTAGAGGAAACATGCTGAATGGTATTCTGGTATTCAACTTTTGTCCAGTTGGTGTCCATGTTGAGCTTTCTTAAAAAGTCACTACTGTTCTTTAGGCAGGCTTAAAGTGTTCTTACCCATAAATTTGAAGAAAAAAGCCTCTCACCTTACTGCAACTAAAACAAAAACACTACTAAGTTCATTATACTAGTACTATTTACTTATATAAGTAATTACGAGTTTCAAAATTATAGCCTCAAGCTGCCTAATACCTACCCACCAATCACCACTGTCACAACTGCAGCTTGAAGCTGTCACTTATCTACACAGAAGCCAAAAACTTTCTCAATTAGTAGTTAAACCACACAACAACTGCAGAGCTGTGCACTCATTGAGAAAAACAACAAGAGACTGAAGCTGAAGAATGATGTTTGTCTTTTAGAAGCCTAAAGTCATCAACTATCGGCCAATCAGCTGATGGGACACACCTCTGCAATCACTTGAAACAGCAAATCACATAGCACCTGCAGATCAGCCCACACACACACACACACACACACACACACACACACACACAAATACGCGACACACACATACATACAGGTCTTTATTATGTTCTGAGGACCACAATCTCACACTTACCTGTGAGGACAGAGAAGACAGAGAATTACACCCCAACTCATCAAATAACATGAACCTGGAGAACAATGGGGGAAATGGACAAATGGAAAAGTACCTCTCTCTAATAGTGTGAAATTCCAGTTTCTCATTGTTGTATTGTGGAAAATCAAAAAGATTTGGAAATCCAATATTTAGAAATAAATGGATATCCAAATTTCACTTGAAACATGGATAGAACTTAATGCTTAAAATAAAATTCATTAAAGTCGTATCAATTTGGCTATTGTTGACAGCACATAAATGCGTTCACTCAAAATGTGACATTAAACATCCAGTGTGTAGAATTTAGTATCATCTAGCAGGGTAGTGGCAGATCCCGACTTAATAGTGCCCCTATCTGATGCCAGTGTTTGGTTTGTCACAAGATATTTTCAAGTTTCAGGTTTATTTAGCCTTTTCTAATTAGAATTATAAAGTCCTCATGTTGCCGTAAAAGCATTGTCACCGACCACTCCGAAACAAATATATTTTATATATCTTAGTGGTATAAAAAACAAGCTAAAAGTACATTTCAAAGTTTACAGCTTTTATCACCCCATAATTTTAAGAAAATTAGGGCAACTTAGTTTTAATTGGATGCAGCTTTAATTCCTTGTGTACTTGTAGGTTGATACATACACATCCCATCCTGCTAAAGGATATGCTTTCATGTAAAATCATGTTCTATATGTGTTATTTCCTGCTATTCGCTGATGGCACAGCTTTGATGAGTTCAGGCTGATGTGACCATGAAAAGATGAAGAGACATAAATGACAGCCTACGGAGCAAGACAGGGAGGATCAAATCCTGCATCAACAACCGCCTGGCGTATCAACGAGAAAGAATGTTTACAGCTCTGCTGAAAGACTTTCTTGAACAGAGGAACACAGCACTGACAGAATTGATCACATCTGCAATGCTTTATGCTCAGCTATACAGATGCTACAGATGTTTCTTTGGCGTTGGAGGGTTGCAGCACCCTGCTATAGATGTTAACTGACTGGACATCAGAAAACATTTTATAATAAGCACAAATGAGTAAGATATAGATATTTCGACATATTACAAGATTATGTCTTTTCACTTTGAAGCCATGTGCCTGAGGTTCTCTCTCTGTCTGCATGTAAAAAGGCAATTCACTTCAGTTCACTTTCACTCAGAAAAGAAGTCTCTTTAAGCCCCTGAAAGCATCTGACAACTCCAAAGACCATTTGATACACTGGACAGTGTGAGAGCAGGATAACATTCTGAGGTTTACTTCACCAGGCGCCTGCCTTGCGACATTTTCCTCTGTCTTTGTGAAATCAATAAAATGTACATCCACTGGGTCTGTCTCTGGAATGTAATTAAGAGTTCAAAGAAACTGACGTCCTGTTCTTGCAGTGCAGATAACTCCTGGTCCATTTATCTGCTGAAACAGTGATTTATTTACAAAGCCTTTTATGGACACCACTTATATGAGATGACTTACGGATAGAAGTTGATTGATATGATACCTGATGCTTTTGGTGTTTCAGAGAAGGTTGCTAATACCTTTTATTGTGTGGTTTAATGATTTTTTCCCCTTTTATGTGTGTTTTTACGACTTTATTGCAGGCGGCAGAACAATTGGTCCTGTGGGGATGGTAGTGTCTGGACTTTACTTTCCTGAAGACCTAAAACTGTGGTCAGTAATTCATATTTTGTTGTTGAAAACAGACTTTTATTGGATGTAACACATGCTGCCATTTTAATACAAGTGATTATACTAACTACACATAATGAGGACACAAATTATATTGCCTTAGAATCCATAAATTGACATTTAAACTAAACCCTAAATCAAATGGAACATTGTTGTAAGCTATCAGCCTGGAAAAACACAATTTATCAATTTCAATCCTTTTCTCAAACATTTCATTCAACCTGTGATGTGAATACTAAGTTGTAATTGTTTGGAAAATCGAATTAGTAGGTGAGTGATGGGCCTGTGACTAGTACAAAGTGCAGGCCGACCTCTTGGCAGATTTTGCTTTTTGGTTGTTGTGATGTTGAAGTTAGTAGGTAAATGAACATTAAAATATGTTTGATTTATTGTTAATGGCGGTTACATGAAATGAATGACTACCACAACTACTTTATTTTATCCCAGTATGGTTGATGCATAGAACATCCAAACCATTCAGGCAGCCACAGCTCCCTCACTTTTTCTCAGATTTTCATTGAATCACACCTACAGTACGGTAAATGTATTATTCACCTACTAGTCATTTTTATATCTGATATGATATAAATTGTGAAATACGAAGAGCCTTCTACTCATAAATGATAATTTTCCAGATTGTGTCACATTAAACCTCTTTCCATTTTATTACAAAGGAATAAGCATGTGAAGCCACATTCTCTGCAATAAATTAAATTGGCAGCTGTATCTTGCAGCTGTTACTTCAAAAGAAATTGCCTTTAACTGAACATGTAAAGAGATGTATTCTTAGCTCTTCAGTATTGGCTGCAGTATATTAAGCAAAACTGATTTCTTGTCCTTCAGCTTTTCTATTCCTATCTTTCACAAGGACCAAAATGAATTTGAAACAAAGGAGAACAGCTCATATCTTGTGCCAGAAATCTAAAGTAATACTGACTCATGACCACACGGTGTCAGTGTTGCATACTGGACAAGACGAAACACAGACTGCGGGACTTTTTTTTGACATTTTGAGTCCTTCACACTAATCTGTGAAGCAGTTAACACCTCTGAAGCGTTTTCCGATAAGTCTAAGTCCAAATTGCCCTCTACATTTTATAAGTTTTCTCGCAGCAGGATCCAGTTCAGAAAATTCAACTTTCAAAGATAAAGATGATAGATCGTGCCACATTTTAGTGATACTCTAGAAATATATTCTAGTCAGCACGCATGTCAGCTTGGTGCAAATTGACATTACCCATTAAAATAATGGGTGTCAAGGTGTCACTCTGCTAAATGGGAGGATTTTGGTTTTGTTGGATGGTTTAGTAATTGAGCTTAATGGTTCATTCTTCACCTTGGGAACAGAAGATGTCAATACGATCACCACTCAAGGTCCACTTATTTTAGAGCTTTAACTGTATCACATTCTTCATTGGCAGATTAAGTTTGTTCTGTTGTCATGGAAATGTTGGTTTTAACATCCACAATCAAAAGCTCCTGAACAAGCAAGTAAGTGGAGATCATTTTGTCACCGGTTTGGTACCTCTGTCTAAGGAGGCTTGCTTTAGGTTGTAAATGTTAGTAAGGCATGAATAAAGGGTCACTTTATAATTGTTGGTCACCTACAGTTTTAAGTGTTAATCATTAATACAGGGATTCTACAGTCTGCTGTTGTAAAAATTGTTGATAAATAGATTTTGGTCTGGATGCCCACAGCCCTTTTCCAGGAGCAAAATGGTTGAGGAGTCTTCTTAATGAATGGAAGAGTGACTTAAAAAGAAAAAGCAAAATTCATGGAGGAGGATTTCCCAACCTCATACCCTAAACGTTTTTCTTTCTTAATGGCTTGAAATGGATCGATAAACCATTATTTGGTAATTTTATTAACCATTAATTGCAGCTTATGAACCCTTTGTAAATGGTGCACACAAATAGGTACAAACATTTATTTTGTGCTCACCACAACCCGTTTTGTTTAAGTGTTCCTGTGTGTAGACCCTTTAAGTGGTCATCTTACAGTTTCTTATGGAGTCATTATAAGTAACAACTATATTGTTCATCTCATTGTTACTGAGTGAAATAATCTTCAGAAAGTCATCAGACAAACAAAAGTGTTTAAAGTTTTTAATGTCAAAGTCAAACTTTTACATGATTCATCTTCGTACCAAACCATTCGTCGACAGCTCCTCTTCTTCCTCGTCATAGCAAATGCAATTAGTTCATTATGTAATTACAGGAAGGGAGCAGCAAAAAACAGAGCCAGCCCCATCATAAAAGAAAACAAAGAAAAGGAAAATAAAAATAACAGTTTTTTTCTCATTTTTTCTCAAGTGCAGATTTGAAGACCTTAAGAAGCATGCCATTGTCTGTTATGGTTTCCAGTTGCCTGTTCTACAGTGTAGTTTTATCTGTACATGGCTATAAGGGTAACAGCACGAGGGGGATGACAGGTACATAATGTGCGCTGAAGTGTCTGTTTTTAAAAATGTCTTGATTAGTGGGTGATAGATCTCAGACGTTAAGCTCTTCTCTGTCTGTCTCCCCTCTCTGTTTTGCAGAAGACTGAAACATATTCATGTTTAAACGTGCAGTATAAAAAAGATACACACCCACACAGATTCATGTACAGCAAGTTCCCTTAAATCCCAGTGGGAGAGCTTGAAAGGTGCTATAATGGAACTGCCTTAAAACAGCAGTTTGAAGCAATATCTGCCACTTTGAAGAGGCAAGGCTGTGTCAAGAGTCTCTTTCCAAAACTGACAAACTGGACTTCAGTTCTTCAAGACCTTTCTGCCGTCCAAGGGATTGAGACACACTTATCTCAACTATTTTTCCCAGAGGAAGAGCATATGTCCTTCTGTCTCTCAGTGTATATACCCTGTTGTGATTGTTTTCACCAATCCCTTTTTAATGTGAACTCTCCGTCAACAGATTAACTCCATGTGTTGGGCCTCGAGTTTCGTTACATCCTCAGCACAGTCCATCAATAACAGAGCTCTGTAAACAGCCATGTTGGGGATTTGGGGGTAATGAAGGCTTAGAGAGTAAGTACATCAGTGGTCTAAAACAGGCTAAAGGGGGTCAGTCACAGAGTTGTGAAGCTGAAGGTATATACAGGTGTACAAAATGTAATCAAACACATACTGTAGAGGATACCCATTTCTCAGCCTGATTAATTTACATGTCCTCTACTGTAATTTTACATTGTAAAATTAATGTAGAGGACATGGTACGTACTACTTTACTGCCTCCACACATTGAGTTATCTTTCAGTGAGGGGACAGTCAAGCAGCAACAGTGTATGGGTTTGTGTTAGTTAAAAAGATAAACACCGTCACACGTCTTACCTGAGTGTTTTGTTCTCCTTTCTGACTAACTCTATGCTCTACAAGGATCTATGAACTTAATTGTGGCACATCCTTAACAAGCAAGTCTCCTTCGCCTCATCTGATCCAAAACAGCCAGAAAAATGAAGAGACACACTTACTGGCAATTTCCAGCAGTGTTACATTCGCCTATCCAGACGTTAATGAGATCAGTGCAGATCAAGGGAAGAGAAGAGAGGAGAAAGGAAACTCATTAAGACCACAGGGACGACCTAACCCTATTATCCCTATCACACCACTGAACCACACACTGATGATGGGAATTAAGATGTGCTGGCCTCGATCCACACCCACTCTTCAGCCCAGTGCAGCAGAGTGTGTCTGGAGTCGTGCTGTAGCTGCTGGGAAGGACGAATGTGAAGGAGTCTGTTATCTGTGAGGTTCAGCACAGCAGTATGGGCGTGTTCAGGTCGGCACTGTGTGGTAAAAAGGGTGCAGCAGAACCCTGTGCTCCCACTACATTGTGATCTTTTTTGTTACAGCCTGCGGCACCCTTCGTGCCAACTCTGGGCCGTGGAAACTGAGAGAAAGGCCCAAGGTTACCCCAAAGTTGCACAACAATAAAGAAGGAACAGTGTAATCCACTGAAGCTAACTCCCTTGCTGCCATCATTATCTCCATTTCCCCCGTAAGCACACACATATAGTACAGATGTATCCAAATAGGCGTGGTATCCAAAAAGGCGTGTGGTTTAAAAAAGAGAAAAAAAGTTAGCATTGTCTTTCTTTCATGCAGAGTCCTTTTTTCTTTTCCTTTTTTTCTTACAGAAATTTGGTTTTTCTATGAGTCCTACTTACAGTATGCAGAATATCTTATATTCCCACATTGTCTTATCATTACATACAGTAGATGTCATGTCTGAAATTCCCTTTAATGTAGCCTCACACATCAGTCAGAGAGATGAGTAATTATTTAAATACAATTCATGTTTAAATACTGGCTGGAGAGGAGCAGGCAAAATGCTACAGCTAGTTCAATGACAGGAAATATGTTAAAAAATTATGATTAAGAGCACATACACACATAGTGCATATGAATTGCGCACATCCTAAAATGGGTTTGTGTTTCTACTTATGTTTTAATACGCTGTATGTTTGTGTTTGTGTGTGTGTGTGCTTAATGTTTTCTGTATGAAAGTTAATGCAAATTATTATATACTTTATGTTACACGGCCACTGAATCATGTCATAAACTGTGGCCCTATGCATGTTCACATTCTGTAAATGCACTGTATGAGTTTGTGTTTACATGCTTAGGTCTGTGTGTGTAAGTGCGTGCATGCGTGCATGTGTATATGTGTGTGCATGTATGTCAAGAACATTTATGATACATGAACACTGTTAGGATACTGCAGGTATGTAGCGACCTCAGCACCTCAGTCTACTCTGAAACGGTGGACCCCAGCAGAGAGATAACACTGCCGTTTTATCAAATACACACATACAATATATACATACAGACTGGGTGTGAAGGCAAAATAATAAACACATATTTTCACACACGCTGGAATACTGTGGCACTACTGACACTCTATGAGAACCTTGTGTTCTGAATGGTTACATTTGATTACTTTAAAAAAAAAAAAAAATCGGTCTTTTCACATTGTTGCAGTTTGTTCTGAATCATTTATGTTTTTAAAGAACGATACCTGATTTTAGAGATCAGCACATTTTTTTCCTACCGTGTAACTGTACAGTGACCACACTTCTGTTGGTGCTTTGATACTCTGTTTATGACTTGTTAAGATTTTCACAGGATTAGCAGTTTGATTGGTTAATATCCCCGTCTTGTGTTACGATAAGAGTTGATTAGGCATTAGAAGGTTTGATTGGTTGATTGATTCCAAATAACTCAATCAAAGACCCGTTACTGCTTTTTGTCTATTTTCACTGGATACGATCTCAGTGGTTTTTTTTCAGCAGATTGTTCACAAGTTGAGTCCAAATCTTGTTTGCTGCAGCCTCAGTGAAAGTTTTTTTGTGTATGATGTACTGAGGCATTTATAGCATCAGTTTTTACTTAGTCTCAAACTCTCTCTTCTTCAGACAGATCCCTCTGTGGTAGAGGGTCAGGCATGCATTGGATTCAGGTAAAAAGAAGAGATGAAGTTGTCCTCCTCCACATGGACATAATAAGATCTTTGCCTGTAGGCAACTTTCACTAGTAGTTAAAAAAAGACTTTTTTTTAGAAAGTACACCTGGTCAGAGCTCCCCAAAGAGTTGATCCATCACTTGCTTAAGCTTAAGTGCCTATAAATATTAGTCAGAATCCAAAAGTTCCAATTTGATATACAGCTTTTCTGACATTTTCACATCTTCACAGGTTTAAGAGGCCTTCCAAACTAATGACCCGCCAGACAAGTCTTAACCCTCCCTCTTTTTCAGAAAAGGGAGCGGTGTGGTGATGATTGCTCCATTCAAGGCTGTCACAGGTAGACCTCGCGGCGTGACAATGTGAGGCAGGACGTGGTCTTGTAGTCCCCTCCTGTCCGCGTCAGTGGTATGACCTCAGGTGGGTTCTGGCCTTCTCCTCCTTCGTCCTCTTGCTGGCGCCTCCCGAAGCCTGCGCTGCTAAATGTGTCATAGGATGCCGAAGTCATCTTGCGGTTAAGGAGGTTACGGTTGTGATCGCCCATGTTCCTATTGCGGTCTCCTCTACCCAGGGTGCCGAGAGGATCCCCGTTGGCTAAGGGTAATCTTTGACCTTCTCCGCCGACAACCACCCCGGGTTCTGAGCTCCCTGCACTGCCAGCGCTCTCGCTGTCACTCTCATGGTCGTTACCACGGAGATTGTTGTTATCGTCTCCGGGGGCGAAGGTGGAGAGCCGTGGGGGGTCGCTGCCGTGGCGCTGACGCTGGCGAGGTGAAGGGCGGACGGGCATCCAACAAGTGTCAGAGTGACCAAACTCATCACATTCCCTAGTACACTTTCCTGTCAGAGCTACATCTGGCAGCTGTCTGGCATCTAAACATACAAAAGAGACAAAAAAGAGAAAACAAATGAAATTTTTGCTGCCTTCATTTGATTGTTTCAAGTGATACAGTGACAGGAAATATAGGGAGAGAAGGGTGTGATATGCACCGATCAGAACAGAATTGGGGATGCTGCAATTGTATGTGTTCTTACAACTAGGCCACCAGGACGTCCCAAGAAGAGACAATTAAACAAGAAAAGAAAGCAGATGGATAGAGTTTAACAGGAAGGAAGACGAGAACAATGGGTAAAAAAAACACGACAAAGGTTATAAGGGAGGGGATGGAAGGAAGAAAGAAAAATGCTGCTTGAGCAAAATGGAAATTGCTGACTTCAAAAGAACGTTTAAAATAATCATAGCTGTGCTCAGCATTACATAAAAGGTGAAAGGTGAGTTCAAGACAAACAACTATTGAGGCAAAAGAGATAAGTAGCAGAAATTCGAATGACAAATATACATTTCTTTACATGTAAAGACAAGCTTAAATTACATATCAGCCCTATTAAATCCCATGAGTGATAGGTTCAAAAGGTTAGTGAGGCCACCTGGGACTGATATTCTACAAGGTAAAGTGTCAAAGGCTACGGCCATTATCTATGTAAGCCAGTTATTTATGAATTAATAATGCAATAATGTTAAATGCAGACAGGACTTACAGAATAATGATAGATTAGGTAAATGTGACTTTCCTGCCAATTAGAGAAACTGTGCCGGTGTCGTGTTACAGATAGTCTAAGGTAACGTAATACATTCCATACACATCTAATTATGAGCAATTGAAATCAGCACAGTCATTCGCTGTTTGATTTTTTAAAATTCTGCTTTACTTGAATTAAATCACAGAAGTTACATATTTCTGTTGTATCCTGAAGACTAATTCCAGTTTTGTCTCCTACGTGCAGCAGCAGCAGCAGCAACAGCAGGAAATTCACTTGAAACTAAACAAGCACATAATTATACAGTATAATTATAACCAACGCAATAAATTCTCTGTTCAATTTCTCTCTCCAACTGACCGTGAAAAAAATTAAATAAAATTCTTAAACACCACACAATCCTCAAGATTTCACACATTGGTGAAAAGCAGCATTGAAACCACAAGTCTTTCACCAAAGTCATAGTGACCTTGGTATGCTGCTGCTGTTCCAGCTCTAGCGTGAACATATACAGAGGAAAGAGGAAAGAAAAGCCTTTTCTGCCTCGACAAAGACCCGGTAGTAAAAGGTAAAAATACAATTTTGTTGGTGAAAGGGAAGACTTGGGCTGCTGATTGATGGCAAGGCCATGGAGGAGCCTTTGGGACAACATACTGCTACACATTAACTTTTCTAAAGAGCTCTTCACATAACGCACACAGGACAATTGCTTCATTCTATAAAACATATTCCTGAGACCTTGACCGCAGGTGCCTGAGTGTGTGTACACACTGAGTGTGTGTCTAATCAGAACCTTTACAGAAAATAGCCTTGAGAAACAAGGAAAAACATTTTATTGGCTGCTGACTGTATGATTTGTGTGTGTGTGTGTGTGTGTGTGTGTGTATATGTGTGTGTGTGTGTGTGTGTGTGTGTGTGTGTGTGTGTGTGTGTGTGTGTGTGTGTGTGTGTGTGTTTGGCTGCTCTGACCATTCTCCACATGCTCCTCTTCTCCCACACTGCCCTCTGGTGTGGTCCTCTCGTAGCCTTCCTCGGGCAGCGGAAGGGCTCCCAGCCGCGGCCCTGATGAACTCTTGCTGCTCGGTGTCTCGGAGTCCTCCAGGCCACTGTCATAGCAACCGCCGTCCTGGGGCTGGCTGACTACCGAGAAGGTCACCCGACGAAGGGTCCCCTGCAGGGAACATACACACACAATATGGGATTAATCATCCAGGATTCCTAATCTGAGATTCTAAATCTGGGGATTTGGCTGGGGGGCAGGGGTCTGCAAAGACATATTGAGATTATCTGATCGTGTTCGCCTTGATTATGAGCTTAGCTGCTACAATGCAGGGTAATAGTCATCAACCAATCACGCCGTCTTTCAAAGTTTTCAGTTGGCTTTTAATCCCAGTTTAGATTAATGCTGCTGGACATGGCTGATGTTTACAAACCTCTGGCCTGCCTGAAGACATTTATTTTTCATCTGGAATAGATCCCAGTAGTCCACTCTCAAAAATACCTACTTGGTGCTCTACTGAAATAAGTGAAGAATGTTAAATGATAAGTCGAGTGAGCGGTAACATATACGTTTCTTAATGTCAACAAACTCTGTTGAAAAAATAAAATCAGCAAAGCACTGAAGTTTTGTCCGTGTATCCAGAGCCTGATATAGCTCCATAATTGTCACACATCAATGAGCCACACCATTGCAATGGGTGACATGTTCCTTTAACAAATAAAATGGTCACTGTGGTTTATTTTAAGTCCAACTTCATTGTCCTGCTGTGCATACAGGATAGCTTGTGTGTATAAATACACACTAGCTGACCAAATGTGTATTAATCCGTAGCTGGAAATTAAAACCAACAGAAACGCAATTTACTCCTGTTTGAGTGTGGATAGTTGGAAACTACTAGAGGCAGATTAATGCATTGCTGGTTTTGGTCTTTTCATTGGATTTGTAAACAATAAGGCTAAGATACTTTTTATTTTTTACCCTTCAGCTTGCAAAATCATTTCACTTATTATGTTTGTATTGTTTTGCCTTTTCTTGTTCTACTGATACTGTGTGGTCTGAAATGGCTGCTTGCTTTCATTTTTATTTTTTCACGTTGGCCCCACTATGTTGAAATTAATTGGAATCTGAATTTTAAAAAAACAACAACAAATAAATAAAGGAGCACCCCCTCTGTTTGTACGCTGCACCCATCACTGTCAGACAGACACACCACACACACACACACACACACACACACACACACACACACACACTGTGTGTGTGTCACAGGCCATCTAGCACCAATGACAAATCTCCCAATCCTGCAGTGGAAGTGGTGGTGATTCAGTAACGACTCACATCATTCACTCAAACTGAGCATCACACCTGCTGCTATTTCAACACACAAATCACCCCAGTCTAGTTAGCAGACTCGTTTTCACTTTGGAGAGAAAAAAAGAAAAGAAAAAAAAGACTGTAATAAGTCCATGCTGAGAGAATATCAGAGAGTTAAATGACTCCGTCTGGCCTGGAGGGATCACTCTGCACCAGGAAGCCCATTTCTATACAACACCCCTCCTATCTCCTCTCGTTCTCATTTATCTGCTCGCAAAATTACATCGCTTTCAATTTAGATCTGCTTTGAAACACGCAGCGTATAGAGAGGAAGTGAGGGAACAGAGGGAAGACGCAGATTAGGGCGGAAAAACTTGAGCTCGGAACCTCGCCTCAGGATAATCTGGAGGGAAACTGATGGACGGCTGGCATAAAAGCCTAAACTGAACTAATTCTTCTTTTTCTTCCAAACACCCAAAAGAAAAGGGGAACATTTGAACATTTCACCCCATGAACATGCTTAGACAAGAGGAGACGGGAACACAGCAAAATTAATTAAGCAGAAGTGGGAAATTAACTGAGCACTTGTTTCTTCTGCCATTTCTTAACAAGGCTTAGATGAAAGAGGGAGAAAGTAACTCAGAGAGCAGGGATGGCGAGCACAAGCAACACCGAGGAAGAGGAAGAGATATTAGAGTCTAATGGAAAAGCGGCAGTTCTTGGAATCTCAGTGGCTTCATCTTAACTCTCCACAGAGAGCAATGTATTTTTAGAGCGTTAGCTCACATGAAGCAGTCCAACCTCTTTTTCCACTCGTTCAGACTAGGGGCAATGGCACAGTGAAGAAAAGTGGGTGAAAAAGTATACAGGGCTGCGTATAAGGAGCCAGAGAGGGCATGGGTAAGGATCATTTCTGTTTTCTTGTGTGATCTCACCATAATAAGTTTGTTTTTTGAGATCAGTGATGTCGACATCACAAATAATTCTTCTATTTCTTGACTTAACAGGCTGTCAAAAGTGTTTTCTTAGGATCATAGAATAATAATAACTCAACATCATGGCAGAATGTTTTTTCATGATCACAGAATAAATATTTCATGATAATTATTTCTGATCACAAAACAACAAGATAAATAATTTCTCTATGCACATGTCCTCTCCAGCTTTCTGTTCAGAGAAACAATATGAAACAGGAAGAAAATGAGATTACTGTGGAGTTGTTGATTATTGTTAGCCCCGTTCTGTGAGTCTCAAGTATCGCCATTACATTTGACTCACAGAGCTACGGATCCATTTAATAAAACAAAAACAAAGGAGATCATTTCACAAAATGTGCTGCTGTTCTGAAGCTTTTCCCAGGATCCTTAAGGACTCTTCTAACCATTTTGAACAAAAAATATTATATCATTTTTAACCTGTTTCCAAAGTTGCACCCCTTTCTCCTAATCCAAACAAACATGATAGCTGGAAATGACATATCTGCTTGCTCGATTTTGACAACATGAATATATTAGTATGCACTGATATTACTTTGCAATATTTCATGTTTTAATACAAAATAACACCTTAACATTTTACTTGTTTAAAAAAAAACAAAAAACCGCAGAAACGTTTTTATTGTGCAACAGACATAATATTTTTTTTTTATCCAGAAGGTTAGAAGAGTCTTTAAAGATTCTGGAAATACCATCACAAAAGTGGTACGTGTCACTAAAGACAACTAAAGGCTCTTATACACTCACTGTTCCCGACCTGTAGCGCGACAATGTGACGTCACAGGAGCGCCGTAACTATTTATACTTGCACGTGGTGGTCGCGACACTAGTTGCAGTCTTCTCCTGAACAGAGGTGTCACAACTGAGGATAGGCTACCGACTTTGCTATTTCAATGCACTAGAAGAAGAAGAAAAAGGTAAACAATGGCAGACCTCTTTTTTGATTTTCCAAATCGTTCGCGGAGGTTCTTCCAAATTTTCCGGCATATGGCCTCCTCTTTTACAACATTCATGGAGATTTCTTGCCATGAATTCTGGCACCTCTGGGCATCTCTGTGTTTCTTCATTGAAGGATCGTACAGATAGATGCCTGTAGAGGCGCACTTGCTCGGAAAGCTTGCCCTCAAACTCGTCCATCTTCCTGTTTCTGCTTTGGCGCGCTCAGCTGAAAAAAAAAAGAGTGGTGCGCGACCTCGCACGACCGGGCCTAAATCCTGGCGCGCCAGCGAGATCTATGTCATTTTGACGTCACATTGTTGCACGACAGGTCGGGAACGGCGAGTGTATAAGAGCCTTAAGTCTCCAGCCATGCTCGTAGCTCTGTGACACTGTGAGGCTGAGGCACAGCTGAGGCTGATGGGGATGTTAGTTTTGCAGGTAGACAGGTTAGTCATGAAGTATTGGACATATTAAAATGTTGACCGGATGAATACACTAAAAGTTCACTAAACTTTCAACTAGAGGAAAAAACGGCGGGTCACCTAAGTCAGTAGGATTCATCCTCCAGTTGTTGAGATATTTCTGGTCCAAAATGTCTGGATCAAAGTGGTGACAGACCACCATTGTTATTGCTGAGTATTTATTTTTCTGAATAATGGATGGATTACTAGGATTACTGTATGAATGTAGAAATCCAGCTTGCGCCACAGGGCGGGACTTTACTGACAGACAAGGAGTGAGTTACTGCTATTGGAGGCCTGGTGCTGGTTGCTCTGTGTGTGTGTGTGTGTGTGTGTGTGTGTGTGTGTGTGTGTGTTCTATTACAGAATTCATCTGTTCAGCCATGATTCCATCTAATTCAATTTCCCTCTAACCCTCTTTCTGGCCAGAGCTGCCCCCTTTCATTTCTTCATCCTGATAATTTTATTTTCTTTTTCTCTCCTCTGTCTTTCCTTCTTTTGGCCGATCCTGCAGCCAACTCTGCTTTTCACAGCTGTAAAGGAAGGATCCTTTCTCTGTTCCTCCCTCCCACTTTGTTCAACCCCTCCCCCTCCTCCTCCTCCTCCATCCCTTCTTCTCTTGCCAGTCAGCTTTATGATGTGGCGATCGATGATGTGTCCTTGACCTCGTTATGAGTCCCTCTCCTCTTCCCCACAGCAGGCTTTATTGACCCATAACTCCTCTACACTCCCTAACCCCCTTTTCCCCCCTATTTTTCTCTCATACTCTGTCTTCTGTATCTCAAAGTCTTTTGCTCGTTGACAAACCTGTCGTCTTTTCTTTTGCCAAATCCCATTTTTGGCACCTTTAATAATTAAATTCTACTAAGTATACACTGAACACATTCTGCCCCGGTCCGTCTGGCTTCTACCCCCTCCAAAAAAAAAATAATGGCTTTATTCATTTCTACTATGCATTCTAACATTTTCAGTCAATATGGTCTTTTTAAAGCTTTCTCCTTTGCTCATACCATAAATGTATCTCTTTTTATTTCCTGTCTGCTTTACCAGCTTCTACCTTTCTCTAAAAAAACTCTCTGTGCCCAAGCACCCCCTTGATGTTTCCAACCTGACTCACAAAGCACGAAGCATGTTTGTGTGTGTATGTGTGTGTGCGCGCGCATGCTTTCTGTTGTTTGACTGAGTAAATGCAATAAAGGCTAATTACTACATATCCCAAATATCTACTGAATCTCGACACACATTTATGCACACACACGCACACACACACACACACACACACACATACATAGGGATGAGTTGGCTGTGGTCCAGTGTGGCCTATGAATTCATGGCTGATGGAATATTAATTGAGTTTGACGGAGGACATAAAAAACCTTCCCCTTAATCTGACACGGGCCATTACAGTTCAATACTGACATGGGAGCTTCACTCATCTGTACGGTGAGTGTGTTTGAGTGGG